CATTGGAACCCCTTGTTTCGAGTTTCTGAAAGAAGTCTGGATTCAACTCTCTGTCTATTAATGCAGGTGCTTTCTTCTTTAAAATTACAACTGCTTTGTCAGTAATACTTCCGCCTTTGCCTTCGGAAACAGAAACTGAAGTATTTTTTATCACCAGCACTTGGATTTTTAGAGTCATTATTTTCTGATGATTCAGCTGGTTGAGCATTGTCATCATCTGCAGCATTAATTGAAACAAATTCAATCCAGTAAGAGAAAAAGTCTACAGATCAGAAGGAGAATGGACAGCCCGTAAAACTTAAAAGCACATAACTAACATGCTTACCATGAGTCTGCAGCACCTTCTTCCTCTTCTCCTGCAACTTTCTTCCATGATTGCAATGCTTCAGTGATGCTATCTATTACAGGTTTCATCTGTTTAACAAATGATTAAACATTATACCAGAATAATCAAGACCAGATCAGCTCATTAAACGGAAAGAAAGTAGATGGTTTTCGACCAGTCATGTCCAAAAGCATCAAAATTTAATAATCAAACCATACATTTCTTTTAGGAAATAAAAAGCATTATACGAAAGAGAAATGGGTCTAGAAAGTTACCCTATCAAAGCGGCAACTCTCGAGTATTGCTATCATCGAAGTCGATCTATCTACAATCAGGTTGCTTGATTGCAGTGCCAAGGAACTTAAAGTATCAGCTGCTGCTTTCTGCGTCGCCCAATCTGTGCTCCCAAGAAATTCATGGATGCTTAGCAGCAAAGCTTCCAAGCTTTGCGGTGGAATTGCTCCCACCTGCAACAAGGTCAGCATAATTTTTCAGAACTTCAATTTGTTCCTATTAATCATCACTATCCCTATGAATTAAACAATGCACATGGTTAAAAATCAAGCTAAAAAGAACAGATACACAAACCTGTGACAAACTTGCCACTACTAACAAAAGAGTAGCCTTAGCCACAAAATTCTGATTATTAAACAGCTTGCATATCCTTGGACACAATTTCTGAAAAGCATCCAAAGGATGATCAGATGCACATTCCACCATTTTAGCCATACACGTCGCTGCACCAGATTGTAACCCTTTGTTCTGCTCTCACATTGCTTCAAACATTGGCTTAACAAACAACCCCACCATATTCCCTCCACTCTCCCCTTTCAAACACTGCCCTGAAAGCTCCCCTATCGAATCACGACAAGCATCTTTCACCCCCGAGTCAGCATCTTTCAGCCTTCTAACAATGTGGGCAATGATTTTAGTCAAATGGGAAGCTGCCAATTCACCATGGAAATTACATGGCACTGAAAGTAACCTCAAAGATTCTTTCTTTACAGCTTGGAAAGATTGAGGAACATTGGAAAGGAGTCAGGGGAAAGAGATTGGATGGTCTTTTCAATATCTTCAACAGCAATTTGGTAAGTATCTTGATCAGAGAGCTTGGAAAGTGAGGTTAAAATCCTTTGCTTTAGTTCTACCATTGCAAGGTGAGATGAAACTGAGGAGGGTTTGAAGGAGGTAAAGTTGAAACCTTTGAAGGTTTTGTTGATTTGAGTGCTTGAGAATTACTCATTTTCAAAAGTGAGAAGAAAAAAAAGGTTCTCGAAGAAATGAAATTTCAAAGATTGAACGAACAAAGGGGAAAAATGGGATTCCACGGAATAAACAAGAAGAAAAAGAAGGAATTTTGAGGGAATGTGGTTACAAAGACTGGAACGATTAGAGGATTGTTCTATGAAATGAAAGGGGGAAAAGATGGGGTTTTGCATACATTGAAAGAAAAAATGATGAAGAAAGAGATTTGAGAAATCAAGGAGGGAATTTTGAGTAAAGATAATGAGTCAAGGGAGAGAGAGAGAGCTGAGATCTGAAGAGCGTGAAGAGAAACAAAGATGGGATTTTGATGTATTTCCATCCTATACTAGGTTTTCAAGCATCAGGTGGTTCATTGAATAGCAGAGTTACATCTCTAACTCTGTTGGTTTCTGCTGCAAGCTTTCCTGATAGCTCAAATGTAGGTTTTTGCTGCAAGTTACAATAAAGTAAATAAAAGATAAATTAAACACCACACATAAGATTTATCTAACTAGTTAAGAAACATGTGACAATTTTTATCAGACAGGGTCCTTTTCATAATTTCATATAAAATGAGGGACCAATATTTAAATATTTCAAAATATTGGATTTAATAACTTATTACAAACTTATAAGGTCCAAAAACAATATACATAGAGTTTCCATGTAAAATAATCCACTAAAATTACTTGAAATTCTAGACAGTACAAATATAATAGAACCACAGGGTATCAACTAGTTAAGAAACGATTTGTCACAAAATTATAAAACATGAAAAATAAAAGAAAGCTAGTAGCCAAGTAATTTGCCACCTTTTTTTTTTTTCGCTTCCAAAGCTTCCTCAGCTGCCTTCACTCAGCGACAGAGAATCATCTTCATCATCCCTGCTTAGGAACACAATGAAATCTACTGTTGGGCTATTTTAGAACTTACAAGAATAAAACAAAAACCATGTTACTCTTTCTTACGTGTGTGTCAGATACATGTATGAATATGCTTCCTAAATGGGTATGTTCAATTCTTTCCAAGCTTTCCCACGTACATGGGTTCTGGACAAGGATGCTTTAAGAAAAAAGAAAGAGTTGGCATAACAAGCATAACCATAATCATAAACTAGAAACCTAAAAAGCAAGTAGATTCACCAACATATTTTCCCCAAAACCCATAGGAGGAAGATAGAAAATCATGTGACAAATATCACCATATCAAAAGCAGAGGAACTAATAGATCATAGAAATATAAAGAAAGCTCAGGGCAAAGTGGATTAATTAATTTATTTTTTAAAGAGAAATGGTCAAATAACAACATTAACTTTTAGATTTGGTAATTCTTTGAATCAACAATCCCCCTCCCCTTACGAAAAAGAATAACAATAATAATAATAATAATAAAGAGAGGAGCCAAGTTTTTGACAATAGAACTTCTATACGTTAAGAAATATCCTCGGTGCAGATTAAAAAGAAGAGGCTTAAACTTAAGGAGTAGCGTACCGGTCTTCAGAACCTCTCGAGTTAGTAACCTAAAATAACAAGTTTTTGACAATAAACCATTAGACATCAATTCAAGATGAATAAAAACAGCAAACGTATTATAACTGAAAATGCATATCCTCATATGTGTTTATTATTTTTGTTAGCATGAGAATGTGAAAATGCAACTCCACATAATGACAAATAGAAATTGTAAACAAAAATAAGCTAAAGGAGTAAGAAATAAAGTGGAAATAACGGGACACCTCATCCCGAGCTCTTGAATTTGACGCAGGTGAGCGAGATATATGTCTGCTCCTGTGGTGGCCATCAGATGGAGAAATAGACCGCTCATGTCTTCCTCTGCTAGACTTGCTATCCATATCAAAGAGAAATGCAGATTCTGATTTGATAAGGGTTTATGAGCGATAAAAGAGAGAAAGAGAATGGAAGCCCATTGAGAGATGAAAGATCAATATCCAATATAAAGCCCAATATTCAGCTTCAAATTGCACAAAGCCAAGCCTTAAAATCTGAAATTTAACAGAGCCCATAAATTAATTCAATAAATAATAGGGTAAACTACATGTTTAGTACTTAAACTATCATTTTTTGTTTTGTTTTAGTACCTAAAATTTTATTTTATTTCAAAATAATGCTTAACATTTAGTTTAAATTTCAATTTGGTACCCGCCATTAAAAACTTAATAACACTAATACAGAGGAATTTACATCACAATATGCGTGGAATATCGAAAAAGGGAAAATAATTCTATGTCAACGTTGTCGCTAAGTTTTTAACGACGGGTATCAAATTGAAACCTAAACTAAACATTAGATATGGTATTGAAAAAAATTTTAAGTACTAAAACAAAAAAAAGGTGAAATTTTATACATTAAACATGTAATTTACCCTAAATAATAATTCTAACCCTAACTATGTAGTGGATTTAGAACTATAATATTAAAGATGTAGTGGCCTAGTTGAGATAAAAAAAATGAAAAATATTTGTATAAGAGATGACGTGGCAAATTTATGCCTTACCTACTTTTCATAATTGGAAATTATTTTTTCTTTACTTATTTTTAAAGAAAAAGAAATTATTTCTGAAAATGGACTTCTTTCATTTTTATAGCTTTCATTAGGGTTAAATGGGTATAATATCAATTTTTCATCAATAGTATTTTTTTCTCATCTTCTTTTTAAAGAAAAGATAAATTGTTTTTAAAAATGGACTTCTTTCATTTCTATTGTTTTTATTATGGTTTAATGCACATATTACCTCCAAAGTTAGTCTTTTATTAGGATTGAAATGTATATATTGCGTGATACATTTTGATCGTGACTGGTAATTCTAACAAAAGAGGATAATGATGGACTAATGGTGATGACTTTTTACAACTATGGGGATAAATTAATTAAAAAATGTGAGAGAGAGAGAGAGAAATGAGAAAAATGGACAACTTTGAGGGTGATATATGTCTTTTAACCATAAAAAAGGTAAAATGCGAATTTAACGTTACATTTTAATTTTATTTTGATCATTAATCGTTAAAAAATTAATGATGATGCTGACGTGTCACAATAAGATAATATCACATTATCATTAAAAAATAAAAATTATCACGACGATATTTATGTTTTTTTTTAATGGTGTGTGATAAAAATAGAACAAAAATTTAGGTATGATTTAAAAAAATAATTATGATCAAAACAAAATTACAAAAATAAATGGGTGACTAAACACGTAGTATATCCTAAAACAATAGAAGTTTTTTTAAATAACATTTTCCTTTTTCGTGATTAAAAAGAAGCCAACCAAAAACCAATTTCCAAGTAGGAAAATTTGGTAAGACGGTAGAATGCCACGTCACCTCCCATCAAATCTTTCCGATTGTTTTATATTAACTGGACCCACTTCTTTTTCTTTAGATTCTTCTCCCGACTCCCCCAAGCGTAAAAGAGCCCACCCAAACAAATCCCTACAATTGAAATTCTCTCGATTATGGCCGCCGCCGCTAGCACCGCCACTCTTAGCCTACGCAATCCCTTTTCTTCTTCCTCCTCGAAATTACCTGTCAATTTCAACAAAGTCGAGCCTCTGACATCACCTGTGAATTTTTTTTCCATTTCTTGTACCTTGACTAGAGAACCAATGCCAGCTGCGCCGGTTTCCGTGGATTCGGATCCGAAAGGATGGAAACGACCAGACTCGTTCGGTCGGTTTGGGAAATTTGGTGGGAAATACGTTCCCGAGACCCTAATGTCTGCCCTTTCTGAGCTGGAAACGGCTTTTCATTCCCTCTCTACAGATGACCAATTTCAGGTTATTTTCGTAATGAATCCACCGTATATCTATGCACATTTCTGTTCGTATGTGATTATGAATATTTATTTGGAATAGTTGAGTCTAGCCTTTGTCTGTGTTTGTTGATTGGATTTTTTAAAAAAATTGTATATGGTTTTCTTCTCAATGAATCTGTTATGAATAAAATGATGAAACTTGAAAATTTATTGACTTCGATTAAAAGAAGGGAATTTATTGAATTTTCTTTTATCGTTTATTACATTTCTAAAATTTGAAAACGATTGTTTTTTTCAATTTTGTTTTAGTTTTTTTATTGTAATTTTTTATATCGAATTTCATTTTCATGAGAAAAAAATACTAACAGGTCATTTTTGTTCTAATTTTTTTTTTTGGAAGAATTACTTTCGCTTTTTTGAATGATTAAGAATTATAATTATATTTGAATTGACATTACTTTTTAGCTTTGTTGGCTTTAAGCAAGTTATAACGTTCTTTCGTAATTTCTTTTTTGAAAACAATACTGATAAATATTTTGTCAAAAATAGGGAAGAGAAGTGTTAGAGCTTCTAAAGAGTTTGAACTTTGAAATAATAATATGAAAAAAAAACCTTTGAAAGAATTTTTATTTTTGGTACTGGAAGTGGGGATTTTTAGGAATAATGTTTCTGATTTGCAGGAAGAACTAGCTGGGATTTTGAGAGACTATGTTGGCAGGGAAACTCCACTTTATTTTGCGGAGCGGTTGTCTGAGCATTACAAGCATCCTAATGGTGAAGGGCCGGATATCTACCTAAAGAGGGAGGATCTTAACCATACTGGTGCTCATAAGATCAATAATGCTGTTGCGCAGGCATTGCTTGCTAAACATTTGGGGAAGAAACGAATTATTGCTGAAACTGGAGCTGGTCAGCATGGTGTGGCGACAGCTACTGTTTGTGCACGGTTTGGTTTGCAGTGCATTATTTACATGGGCGCTCAAGATATGGAAAGACAGGCGCTTAATGTTTTCAGAATGCAGCTTCTTGGCGCAGAGGTAAATGAGACGCCATTTATCATACATTGTTAGAATATAGGTTCTGTATCACTTTCTCTTTGGATTGGCCAATTATTTGAAGTTGTTTTTTTTATCGTATAGGTCAGAGCAGTTCATTCGGGCACTGCAACACTAAAAGATGCTACCTCGGAAGCTATCCGGGATTGGGTGACTAATGTGGAGACAACTCACTATATTTTGGGGTCTGTTGCTGGTCCACATCCATATCCTATGATGGTGAGGGAGTTCCATGCTGTGATTGGTAAAGAAACAAGAAAACAAGCTCTGGAAAAATGGGGAGGGAAACCGGATGTATTGGTTGCATGTGTTGGTGGAGGTTCAAATGCTATGGGACTTTTCCATGAGTTTGTTGATGACAAGAATGTTAGGTTGATTGGCGTAGAGGCTGCTGGTTTTGGTTTGGATAGTGGCAAGCATGCCGCTACTTTGACCAAGGGAGAAGTGGGAGTTTTGCATGGAGCTATGAGCTACTTATTGCAGGATGAAGATGGGCAAATAGTCGAACCTCATTCCATTAGCGCTGGGTAAAGAATTTTTTACAGTGAATTTGTTTGTTTTTTATGTGGCTTGCTTTATTGTACTTTGAATGATTTGGAAACCTTTTGTTGTGGCTATACAGCTTGGATTATCCCGGAGTTGGACCTGAGCACAGTTTTCTAAAAGATGTAGGGCGAGCTGAGTACCACAGTGTCACAGATGAAGAAGCATTGGAAGGTATGAAACTACAGTCATGTTGTTTTCGATCCTTCATCCTGTCGTATCTGATTGTGACTACTTACTGTTTTTTGCTATTCTAAAAGAAAAATATTATTTGTAGAGACATTCCTTTTTAACTTTTTTTAGGGTGTATCTTAAACCTTAAAAGGCTGTCTGCCTTTCCAGTTACCTGAAATTTACAAGACCTTGTGAAGTTTCACGAGGAGTAGAGCATATTCTGGAGATATCAGTTTTTGTTTGCCTAATTTTCACCTTGGCTTTAAATCATCCAATGCACTCGGGATCTCCACCTCTCTCTTTATGGTTTATTTTCTGTGCTCCATCGTGGGCTGTTAATTTATCACTTTCTCCAAAATTGGTTTGACTGATAACCTTAAACATAAAATGTTCTTGAAGGAGGAAATGTTTCTCTTTCTCTTGCATCCCTCCCTCATTTTATTCCGATATGCTCACTTAAGATATTGCGTATATAACGTGTCGTCTTTCGAGTGATGAATCGTCTAAATTTGCACATCTAAAACATTTGCAACACTGGTTTTTGTGGAGATGTTGGATATTGTCCACTTCTTCGGTTCCTTTGTCTAATGTGTGCTCGAATATCTTTACAAAAACCTATGAATGCAATTGACCAGCTTCGTTACCCTCTTGTGCTTTTATCAAATAATTATATTCACATTTTACTTCTGCTTTTATCATCCAAAGTTGTTTTTCTTACCATTTTCATTCTACTGTTTATCTCCCTTTGTTGTAATTTGGTTACTAAATAGCATGAGATATACGCAGCTTTCAAGAGATTGTCTCGACTGGAGGGCATAATCCCAGCTTTGGAGACATCTCATGCACTGGCGTATTTGGAGAAGCTGTGCCCGACTCTACCACATGGTACCAGAGTCGTCATTAACTGCAGCGGCAGAGGCGACAAAGATGTTCAAACGGCGATCAAGTATTTGCAGGTGTAACTACTAAGTGCTGTTGACGTGTCGTTAAGTATGTGCATCCCATGAAATAAATGGTTTTTCATCTTTTACAGCCATGCTTTCAGTCTTCTTTTTCGGTGTTCCTTTATATGTATTATTTCCTTTGTGAAACCGTTGTATGAGCACAAGGTTTAGATAAAATATGGAGAAAACAATTACCTATTATCATGTTTCTTTATATGCTTTTACATAAATTTGAAATAAAATAATTAAGAACTATTATTTGAAAACCGAATATGAATGTGTGTTGTTGACGTGTCGTTAAGTATGTGCATCCCATGAAATAAATGGTTTTTCATCTTTTACAGCCATGCTTTCAGTCTTCTTTTTCGGTGTTCCTTTATATGTATTATTTCCTTTGTGAAACCGTTGTATGAGCACAAGGTTTAGATAAAATATGGAGAAAACAATTATCTATTATCATGTTTCTTTATATGCTTTTACATAAATTTGAAATAAAATAATTAAGAACTATTATTTGAAAACCGAATATGAATGTGATATGTTTATATATGTTATATTTCTTTTGAATTTTCTTTGTAAATCACACCTCTGTTATCAATCCTTAGTTTATCGTGATCTCTAGAGTTCTTAAAATCCTGAATTCTAAATCTTCTGGAAAATTGTAATATTGTGATATTATCATTTACATGTTCATGTGATTTGCCATAATCAAATTTATTATTAGACAATCAAATCTATTAATTTTATCAATTTATAAGTAGCCATCATGACCTTAAACTTTATTTCATAGATAAACCACCATACATTACTAACTAAATGGAGGATTTTGGACTCTCTTTTTTTGGCTTCTCTTAATAATAACATTTCTTCAATATCATACACTTTTTACTTGGTATACAAAATTATCGTTTATGACTCATTGTCAAATCTTACTATTATAGGCCATCACTCACTTTTACGAGCCATTCACGAAGTCAAAAGTGACTTTTCAGGCATGTACTATCGACACTAAGCTAAGGGTATCGATACTCTCTCTATAGTATTGATATTCTTAACTGGTATCAATACCAAAAATTGTATTTGAAGTTGTCTGGTACCAATACCCCTACCTTTGGTATCAATATCACGTGAACAATATCGATTTTCTCATAAACAATATCGATAATTCATATGTAAAATGCTCAGATTTCATCCCAACTCATCCAATATCAATACTGTTAATCAAATATCGATACATAAATCCAAAAATACTTATTTATAGGCTTGAGAATAACTCAAAATCCCTTTCAAACACTCTAATTCAACCTCAAACTGTGTCTTAAAACTTAAATAAGTTATTTAGGATCAACTAGCACAAAAGCTTGACAAAAAAATCATTAAAGGAAAAAATCAAGTAAGAACCTTCGTAATGCATAAATACCCAAATCTCGACAAAGTATCATATTTAATAGTCATAATATCATAAAGAATTAGAAATACACTACCTTACTGAAAGAATCTTAAAATGAAACTTCTTTCTTAACTACACTTGCTTCTCCTCTTCTTCTTGAACTTTAGCACTCTACACCCACTTTTTTTAGCTAAAAAGAAATGAAAGAGTCTTTAATCCAAAACAAAGTTGCTGAAAGACTTAAAAGACGGATTTGAAGTCTAAATGGGAGAATAAAAGATGCTTAAAGGACTTACATTTGATCTATAGAGCATGGTAAAGGAAGAATGATGAAAAGGTATACAAGGAAGAAGATAGAGAGAAGAAGTAAAAGCTATTCAACTTTTTGTCTCCAAAACCCATGCACCTACCCGTACAAAATCTCATAATATCAACCTTGATTTTCTGTAATGATATAATTGCACTTTTGGTCATTCCCCATTTGTCTTTCACATAAAATTCTCTTTTTATGGTCAATCGGATCCAATTCACATCCAATTAGGCTCATATTTGACCCAATGTTATAATTATTGACTCCACATAGTTCACGTATCTTTCAAGTCAACCCTCATGTGTTAACTTGAAAAAATGGGGATGTTACAGTAAAAAAAACTCTTCTATTCATATCGGTTATACTTATTTCAAACATCTTTTGGTTTTCGGTGACTCATCAATCGTCACCAACAAGAAAAAATTTCTCACTCTCTCTTTTCTTTTCGATTTTCTAGGTTTTTTCCCCCTTAATCATTGTTGATAAAACTTTTTTCCTTTCTTTTCACATGATTTTAAAGACCTCCTCTAATCCAGTGAACATCATATAATGGGGATAAAAGGGCTTGAAATTTGATTTTAGGCTGATGATTACTCTAGAAGAAAAATAAATTTGTGCTTTAATGGAGGACTACTAACACATCTTCATAAAATTTATTACTTTAGCGGAAGGTAACCAAAAACGAGTGCATGAGCGAGTGGGGACCATAGTGATAGTGATACTAGCCACTAGGTGACTATTATGACCCCATGTATGGAAAAAGAATTGTGGACTTTGGCTGCTGACGTGGATGGTGACGTTTGCTAGTGGTAGCTGGCATTGGGGCTGACGGTTGATCTCTTTGTGGTTAAATTATTAAAATGATACATTTTTAATCTTTTATTATCAACATAACACTCAAAACATTTTATTTTCTGAAATGCACCCATTTTACCACAAAGGATGAAGGCGTGTCTATGTGGCAACGTCTTTTGAAAGACTCTTCCTCAAGAAGTGCAATTGTTTACGTAACAAGTCGCATGCAAAATATAAATTATGTTTATACTCCAGATGACCTGCCATGTAAGTAAAGGCTTTTCCTTGATGTGGTAACGTCTTTTGAAATATTAATCCTCAAGAAGTGTATTTGTTTGCGTAACAAGTCACATGCAAAATATAAATTATGTTCATATTTCACACGACTTGCCATGAAAACAAAGACATTGCTAAATTGACACGTCTACATTCTATATAGTAAAAATGGATGTCATTTTAAAAAATATTTTTTATATCATTTTAATAATATAGCCCCTATTTTGACGAGGAGTGCACATTAGGATTTCTACTAACCCTAATTTCAAGGTTTGGGGTATATCTAAGCGGGCTTGGGTCCATGCCTAGTGGAACCAAAAACAGGCCAATTTTAGGTTTGGTTTGGCTGGATCGTATTTAGAGTAAACAAGTTGTGTCGTTTTAGTTTGGGTGCTATCTGATTAACACAGTATATATAAATTGGGTGTAGTTTTTACTCGGATTTTAGTTTTTATTAATGGGTTTGATTTATTTGATTTACAGTAACAATGATGTAATTGAAGCAAACACCATCAATTGCAATAAGTGGCTTATTGCAATGAGTGAATATCAAATAAATGCACCAAATATGAAACAATGCTTTGACAAGCCTTCTTACCAGCATAAGTTTCTTTAGATTTGGCACGCAATGTAGAAACTCCAGAAGCCATGTTCCTCCTCCAACACTTTCATATTCCAGTTCAACAAGGTTGTGAAATGCAAGCACCGATTCAAGACGAGTTGGAAAATGCTGCACGAACTTGAACTGCTATATAGTGTTTGATATAAAGATATTGACTTAAATACTAAGCTTACTAACCATATCAGCCTTTTGAATGGCCAAATACATAGATTGTACATTGCAAATTCCTTGAAGAAGATGAATTGCACCACGTCCATGATCCAATTGATCCTCACCCAATGGACTGATATCAACATGAGCTTTTTCTAGAAAACTCATGTTACTTAAAGCTTAGCCTTCCACTATCAGGTCAATAAATTCAAAATAGACAAGATTCAGTAGAAAGCTTGCATCTGGAGAGGAAGATTATATATATGTATATAGTTACTGCTTTTTGGACTAGAAAACGAAATCTATAAGAAATAAATTTTGTACCTATGTGAAAAGGTAGGTTAAATGAAACGAGTGAACATGAGTTATTCCTCTCATCAAGTCAACTGGAGGAGTAGTACAATTGCAATACGTGAGAGAAAAACTGTCAATCCCGATATGTGCTTCTGCAAGAGAGCATAGATTAATGAGTAAGTGCCTTATTTCCCGTAGTAAAAGCGATGATTTGGGTAGAACTGATTTGGGGTGCTAATCTTTTAGTTCATAACTATGGCCCATATAAGCATCTATTGCCAGCCTCTTCAATGGCAAACACTGAATTTGTTTTTGTTGCCCTCTGATTACCTGATCGAACAAGCAATTCTTTGAGTGAATTGCAGCTCAAAAGTAGCCTTGTAATGGATCCATCATCTGAGAGTTTCAGACCATGAAGATTGGGAATTTTGACTTTGACAGACAACAGTTTGTGGGAGTACTCCGGATGAAATCTCAATGTCTCTAATGTAACGTTGAATATTCTGACGTTAACTATATTAAAAATTATGATATGTGATGATCGATAATTTATCAGCCAACAGATTATCAAGTAATATTTTTCTGCAATAATTTATCAGTCATACGTCTAGCATAATACAATCTTTTATACAATGACAAAACATATAGAAATACATTATCCTTATATCCATGAGACAATTCTTGAAGGAGATCAAAATGATGCTGATAAAACGAATGATCAAATTACAAATATTCACGAAAAATATGAGTATACCAAAATTTCAGAAGTTTAGAAAAGCACTCAAATAATATGCAAATCATATGCGAAAAGAAGTCGTTGAGGGGAAATGTTAAATATTTACAAACCTAGCTCTTTATAGATAATTCTTAATAATTATCAAGATATTTATTATTTAAATAATACTAATAGTATATGACTATAAATATTCATAAAATAATTTAAACATTTATAATATTTAATATTATGTCTAGAATTATCTATAGAAGAATTTAGATTTTTTGTATGATTAATAACTAAGATGCTGATACGTGTCAATAATCTAATGACCACTAATAACTATAAATAGAGAGAGAATTTTTATTCCAAAAAAAAATGTGTAAGAGTGAGTTATACGAGAATGTGAGGTTAGAAGCATATAAGAAAATAATAGTGCAATAAGCGTGTAATATTATAATTGAATTGTGTATTAATAAAAAAACGTGTCTCTTCTCTCGTAAATGTAATTTTCTCAATTAAGCCTTAATTATTTTAACTCCTAAGTGCACTTGTGTTGGTTTAATATATGGTCGACTCTGTCATCTGAAAAACAAATTATCAGTATACAACTTAAATGATATACAATCGTCTCTACCACTTGAATATTATTATTTATTAAGAAACTATAAAATAAAAGACTAACCAACTTTAGAGAATTAATGTAGCATTAATGGAAATATTCGCGATATTGAGCTCCCTTGCATTAGGAAACTCACATTCAAAGATAACCAAGTCTTTCAGTACCCGTCATCTCAAAATAAAATTAGAAAATGAAGTGACATCGAGAAATACGAAGTTAATAAGATATATTATTTAGATTTGATAGACTGATTTCAGTTGGAAACTTAATATCGTTGTCGTCTATTCTTAATTTCAATGTTACCAAGGTGTGGCAATTAAAGAAAATCGTAATAGTCAGAAGTATTTTTAAGAATCTAAAAGTAATTGCTTAATATGATGGCTTAAAATGACATAAATTCAATCGTATAGATATGATTGGTCATCATTGTGGTAGGGTTTTGTAAACTAAAATTTTCTAAAGCTATTTGATCTTGGGAGAGTAATAACCTCAATATGATATTTTTAAAAGTTATCGATATATTCGAGATACAAATCATTTAAACAACTACAAAAATAAAAAGTAGACGAAAAAAATAAATATATTCTTTCCCATAATGTATTATTGAAGTGAAAGAAGTATTTACAAAATGTGACAAAGGTGTTCATCCAATATATTATTGATTTTGTCAACATCCAAAGATCTCATCTGTTATGCCATGAAAGGAAAGAAAGTAAAGAAATTATAGCAGCTAGAAAGACAATGAATGTGGCAAACTTTGTCCCAAAAAATGAAAATGCAAATATTGGTTCAACCATTCAAGACGCATTCAAATAAATTGTGCACAAAATTTTCATCTTGAATTTATTTTCCTCGATGGGCCAATTATATAGTTTAACTTAAATACTAGTTTTGTTATAATTTTAGTTTATTTTATCTAGCTGAATACTAAGCATTTGACCTTTTGGCAAGAGATCTTGAATTTGATTCTTTCTAAGAGCAATTTTACATATTTCAAGGTGATATATAGTTTAAATTAAATATTAACTTTAATGGGATTGTAACATATTCTTTTTTTTAATATAGTTTAGCGGTTAAACTTTGAGTTTTGTGCAAAGAGTATTGGATTTGACTCTCTTATTCAACGCTAATAATAATATTTTTTTAATTTATTTAGTGGTCTCAATTTTAAAAGAAAATTTTGTTTTCTACAAAAAATTTAAACTAGAATAATTGTATATGTAAAGTATGTATATTATTAATAAATTGAAATAAATTTTAAACAATTAATATCTTATAATTACCTTAAACTATTAAAAAATAATATTTTAAATAAATAGGCGTATACCAACGCCACATGTCAGTAACTCAAATCAGAATATCTGAAGTAATTTAATGTATTCTATTTTTATATAGATTTTTCTGAGATTCTCACTTGCATATATATATATATATATTTCATTGAGATATTGTATTACATTGCAGGCTTACTTTTCATTTCAAGAAATGTCTTTAACCCTTAATTTTCTCAATTCCATATTGTTCATTTGCCTTTGTGCAGCTCAATTTCATCACCATTTCGCATTTGCAACTTCAAATTCATGTCGTCTAACCCTAAGGGCTGTCATTAATGATTCTCCAGGCTCTCCTTTGTATCTTGTTGAAAATCTGACGAAAATCGAAAGAATAGAAAGATTGATTAAAATTACCATTGCTCGAGCCAATTACCTAAATCGACTCTCGAATTTTACGACAAAGGTAGTCGAAAATAATATTCGACTACCATTATATCTAGATGGTTTAATCTATGCCGTGGGATTCACATTAGGAAGCCAACACCACCCGGTGAAGCTGTTGGTGGACACCGGCGGTTCTCTAAGTTGGACCCAATGTCAGCCATCCACAAATTGTTTCATACAAACTCTTCCCATTTACGATCGTAGAGTGTCGAACACTTATGCTACACTTCCTTGCAGCCATCCTTTCTGCAGCGGCGACCAAAGACGCTACAATTAATTGTGTCAACAACGTATGTGTTTACGATGTTCGATATGGAGGCGGATCGTCTACCCAAGGCGTTGCGTCATTGGAAACATTCGACTTCTTCGTCGACCAACAAATGAAAGCTTTCCCCAATGTCCTCTTCGGTTGCTCCGACGCCAGTAGTGACATTAGCTTCGAGAACAGTGAGGTTTCAGGGATATTTGGATTAAGCTTGGGACCAGATTCGATTCTGAACCAACTTTCTCATTTCATCCGCTACCGATTCTCCTACTGTTTCTCTCCTTTCAGTGGCGGAATACCTCCGCCGCTCGTGGTACGGTTCGGAGAAGACATTCCGCCACTACATAACGCTCAAACGACGATGTTCGTTCAACCGCCGTTCGGAGTCTATTTCTTCTACATGGAATTGGTGGACATAAGCGTCGGAAATTATCGTATAAACTTTCCACCTTATACGTTTGAGATGAGGGGAGATGGGAGTGGTGGTTGCTTTATAGACTCGGGAGCAGTGATCACACAAATTGATGCCAACACACCTGGGATCAATGCTTATGAACAAGTACTAAACGTGTTTGATTCATATTATGAATCAGAAGGCCTTCAAACAACACAGGGGGAGGGATTTGATCTCTGTTATCTTCTTCCACCTGAGGGTTACTATAATTTTGCACCTTTAACATTCCATTTTAATGGAGCCGATTACACCGTTGATCGGAAATTTATGCATATTTTCTATGATTCTTATTTCTGCGTGGCGCTACTAGGAAAGGGATCGAGTTCGACTGTACTTGGTGCTTGGCAACAACAAAACAAGCGTATCGTTTATGATGGACAGATCGTCGGACTTCGGTTTGCCGATGAAGATTGCATCCATGACGTTTTCTGACTGAATTCATAAATATTTAGTGCTAATGCTACTGTTTTGCCTTATCTCCAAGGCCTCCTTCATGGGAAATAAATTAAAATAATAAAAAAGTTGAGAGAGGGGAGCAATTTTCATTTTCCATACAGGCAATATTATAGTTCTAACCATAACATAAAACAATACATGATAGAAGCCCATCTCTTCCTTGTTAGACTGCCTTTTTAATGGGGTCTAATTCTTTTTTGATTTAGTTGAGGAATATTTACATTTTCAAACGAATGTTGAGATTTAAACTCACACAAGATTCCAAATACTTCACTTCTACTTGCGATAGTTGGATGTATATATGTGTTTTCCTTGTAATTGAAAATTTTGATCGTCTTGCGGTGGAATGACAAACAAATAGAAATTCTATGAGAATAAGGAATGTTGACATTTCTTTGAAATTCCTTGGAAACCTTAACAGTTCTTCTTAATACATTTGACCATCGTTCTTTTAAATTATGAGATTTTCATGAACGTTTGTATGTTTGAAGAAAAAACTAACCATTTTAACTATTCACCCGTCTCCATTAAAGCATAAAGTTTTAATCTCCTTGTGGTGAAATAACGAGCACAAAGACATTTTATTGGGTAGATCTCAACCTTCAGTGACGGAATCACGTAGGTGTGGAAGGGGGACATGACTCACCCTAACTTTTATGGTTTAGTTGTATTTTGAGTTCCTAAAAGTGTTGAAACTATTAGAATTAAAGTTTTGACACTCCTAAAATATTTTGGATTATTTATTTTTTAAGACATAATCAGTTTTAAAGTTAAATAAAATTAAGTATTGTCTTTAACTTTTTTTTATTTAATTACTTTTTAGGATTTGACAATTTTGAAATTAATGAAATTAAAGTTTCAATCTTCTATTTTTATGGTTTAATTACCTTTTAAAACCTTATTAGTTTCAAAGATAAGCAACTTGACTCCTTTCATAATTTTATCCTAGTTCTCCCATTACGAACTCTCTTACCAAAACAAGCTATAAAAGAGGGATAAATAGAAGAGTTAGTGGATATTTATCATGTATTTGAATTAAATATTTATTGGTGTTGTGATGTAATTGATGCTAGCATGATCGGTTGCAGCTAATGATACAAATTTATAAACTCAATATGAAACAGTACTTTGACAAGCCTTCATACCTGTGAAAATTTCTTTGTATTAGGCACGCAATGTAGAAACTCCAAAACCGTCGTCGTTCCATGCCACTAAGGATATTGGTTCCATGTTTACATAATTAATTGATGATGTGGTTCAAAACACCTTTTAATTATGATAATAATCTTTTTGGATTATAAGGCTACAATGATATACAATCATAAAGTGATAAGTATATATATATGTCGTCCAAGTAAGATTAGATCATATAGACATTATATACATAATAAGTAATAATTGTACATTATTTATTGTCATAAAAGGTTTAACTTAAATTAAAAGTGATTAAATCCAATTAAGTTAATTGAACTTTTAATAACTAAAATGTAAGTGGTTTTTGTTTTTGTTTATAGTCTTTGTTAAGGGTTGTGTTTTATTTGTAGCTGTTTCGGTTTCAGGGAGCTTTCTTTCAAAGTGGTTTTGTTACAATGTCTTTTCTGAGTTGTTATCTCTCCTTTTGTTGTGTAGTACTCTTTTTCTTCGTTTAGAGTTAAGAAGATTTTTATCGAGACTTATAACTGGATTTATTCAATAAAATTTGACTGCCGAACAAAAAAAAAAGATTTTGTAACATTAAACCAATGGACATCATTGTGAGAATTAATAATTGTAGCTATTTAGTTTTACACTAATTTTTTCCCATTGGATAACAAATACATTATTGAGATAAACGAACGTTAAGCTTGGTAGTGTACAGTTAGAACGGGGAATTATTATTTGGTATGGATTTGGAACAATAACTAAATTTTCCGAGTATAGTTGTAGGTATCTCAATCTCATCTTATAAATCTCAATCAAATTATTGCGTTATCTGTTATGATTTGATTTCACGGGAAAGAAATAACTATTCATAAATTATTATAATTCTATAATTTTTATTTTAAGCATTTAAATTATCATTAGTTAAAATAAACTTTTCAAAAATAATTTAAGTATCTAAATTATTTTTTTATTTTAAGTTTATAAATGTGTCTTAATATTTTTAAAATCATAATCGAATCATTCGATTAACCAATTATAACAACTGTGTAATTGTTTTATTAAATTGCAAGTGACAGAATCATAAAAGTCTTCAAGAAGTTACAATTGAATCACTCAATTAATCGACTGTAATAATTTGGTCATGTGCAATCTAAAATCTAGTTGTTCGCCGTCAAACGATCTATGTTTCGAGATATGTTATTCCTCTAACCATCAACAACCCCTCCAACACCCAGATCGTCGAATGAAATCCTCGATCTTTGAGAAGTCTAAAACCCAAATCACCCACTCGTAACTAAATTAATTGAGTGACTCATTGTAATTTTTTAAAATAAAATGACCCGGTTATAATTTTTTTTGAAATATAATGACCTATTTGTAAATTTATTAATGATAGAGCGATCTATGATGTAATTTACCCAAAAAGTAATTAAAAATATCTTCTAATGACACATTTCATTGTTCGTTTGGGATTTAATAATACTGTAATCTTATTGTTATAATAGGTTAATTGAATGATTTGATTCTAACTTTTCCAAATACGATGACGTATTTATAAGAGCTAAAAACAAGCATGAACTTATGTTGAACTAAACTTCACATGGGGCAACATGGAAGCGAAAGAGTAGTCTATTGAGGCGCACGTGGGGGGGCATGAAAGCCTCCATGTGAATTATCATATCCATTCTTATGTTTTGATGGAAGAAAATGAAAGGTGAAAGCCCCTTCCCTCTAACTATACATCACCAAAATCCTCTCTACACATTTGCATCATTCATCATACACGGAAACCATACAAAAATTAAAGTGTATAACTTGACCTAATTTTTGGCAAGTTCTTCCCCTTGAAAAAGACATCTTATAAGGACTCCCATTATAAATTTCCTACTCAAACCATGTTTCTCTTTTAAAATTTAAAAGTAGATCCGACGAGTCATCTATTCATGTATTTTCGTATAATATTAACGAATACATCAAATAATTAAAGATCTTAAAATGTAGTTTTATATTTTAATTCGGGTTATTTTACTTTATTTATTTTTACATCGTAAGTAAATATTATGAGTCTACCTCAAAGGCTCAAGGTTCCTTGTTTAAACTTGCAAACATGGAAAATTATTGCATCTCCCTTGGGACTCCTTTGTATGTCACCTCCATTTCGATGAAACAACTTGTTAGGTTTATATACTTCTCAAATAACTCGTATTTTGTCTTCTAACTATTACAGTGTTTAAAGTTCCACATCAATGACCTCAAATTAGAAGAAAATAAATTGCAATTTTAGGATATTAGATTTGATACTGGTCATTTAGGATTTTTTTTTAGGTGAAAATTGATTTTCAGAACATTTATTTGAATTATAAAAATATAACTTTTATTGATTCTCTATTAATATTAAACTCTTGATAAGTATTATAAATTTTTTGAATAGTCTGAAGTGATTATAATGGTAATATATGTTCAGAATTTTCTTAACTTATTGATAACGCACACACACTGTAAACACAACTGCTTGAATCCCGGATCTCTAAGGAGAACAATAATCCTTTTTATCACTGAGACAACTTGATGGGTTCTAAATGACAATAACTTAATTGGGAAAAAATAAAAAAAAAATTAATTTTAATCTCATGACCGAGTCATTTCAATTCTCTTGTTCAAACAGTTTTTTAATAGTTTTTTAAACAATTAAATTATTAAAAAAAACTAAACCTACTTTTGATACCTTGTTAAAGAAATTAGGAGTATCTCATCACTAATTATATAAATTTACAAAGGCTCAAGCCTTAACTGACGTGAGGATAGAATTGATCAAAGCTTATATATATACATGTCACTTACCATAAAATTAAAGGCTTTATTTTGACAATTGACTCCAGAAATGTTATAAAATTAGAATAAAATCTTCATCAAATCTTCTATCCAAATAATGCTATAAAAATAATATAAATTATTCGAAAAAATAGATTAATATTGACTAGAGATGGAAAACTATTGTTAATTTGTTTTATAATAGACAAAATGGAAATTTGGGAATTAAGGACTTTAACATGTAAATGGCTAATAGACATGGGAAATGCCACAATAGCTTAAACATAAGCATGGTACCACTTATAATTACCATTCCAATATATTTGTTACCGCCTTTAGAAATTAAAGAAAAAGAAAGCTAAACTATAGGAGTAATATTAAGTATAAGTTATTCGGATTAAAGTCTAATGTGAATATGTGATATTATAATTTTAATTTGATAGCACGAGTTATAATTTATTTCAAATTTCACTTACCACTTGATTAAAATGTTATAATACATCAAAATCAAAACAATTAATCATTATATCAGCACAAATATTACTTGAACTCATTTCGATAAATTATAATATATCTAAATAATTCATCAAACATAAATTTTAATCAAATTTATATAATAGTATATAAACTTGAAATTTTAAAATGTCCAAAGTTTTTTTACCATTAAATCAAAGGCTTGTTGACCTACCGATTTATAGTATTTCAAGTTAGGGTAGATTCGGTTTAATCTAAATTATTGTATTATAAATGAAACATTTTTTTGACGGTTCAATTTTATTATGGATTAATCCGACGTCGGAGCAGCTATAAATGACAATGGTTGAACGGAATATATGTAAGTTATCAAGTCAATATTCTGCAGATCCCAAAAACATTATTAACATTCCATCCAATGATGGGAGCATGTATGTATTTCAACGGATGACTAAAGAATATGGGAAAGTCTTCCTTTTTCTAACAATATTTCAATATTAATTAATTACTTAAAGATATCATAAGAATTGACTCATAGAATAAGAAAATAAATATTTAAATAGTATTCTTGTTGATGGTAAGAAGGTAGTTATGATAGTGTGTGATGATTTTTTTTTTAATTTGAATGAAAAATAATTAATTATAATTACTAGAGGGTCTCATTTTATATGAGAGATAAAAAAGTTACTATATATCTAGGTTAATTTAATGTCATACTTTTTTATCTGTAAGGACTAGTAAGTAAGTTGAGTTGAGATTTGTTGGGATAATTTATTGTGTACACTTAATCTGGAGAGACTCCTGAATGGATTGATTTGAGATTTGTTGTGCTAATTTATTGTTTTACATTTTATTTGATTAATGAAATACTCAACATATTAGGTTATCTTATCTAAGTACAGTTGTACAAGGAGATGCATTAAGAGTTGTTATTGTTCCAAAGTTGAGAGGTTAAAAAATAGATATGTGTTAATTGATTGATATACTAATTTTATCATATATATATATATATATTGATGTGTTAAAATTTTAATTTTATTATAGTTTCATATAGGTAAAACATATCAAAATTTTATGATAATTTTTTTTTAAAAAATAAATCAGATGAAATGATTGCAAATGTGACTTAAGGGAATGATTCAAATATGTTTTATTAGCCTAATCGAGCTTGGTATAAAAAAAATCTACGTTTCCTAAATCTAATCCCACAAAATGTCAAACCCCAATTCTCTTTCTGGCCAAATTTTCAACTTTCCCCCAAATTCTCTATCTTCACTTTGGCCCACACCCCCACCAAGATTTCCAAACTCATATATACTTTCAGTTCATCCATTATAATTTCAAATAATAATTAAATGTTTAAATAAAGTAAAAACTTAACATAAATAAATAAATAATGGAAGGATAATTATAACTCTAGAAATTAACCAATATCAACACATGATAATATATTGTGAAGTTAAATCATTGTGTATTTCACTCTCCTCCTACTATAAATATAGTTTTTGCAGGAGAGTTTTCTCATGACTCACCTTCCTCTCTCTCTCTCTTTCTTCATCTTCTTTCTTATTGTTTTTTCCCCATGAATTCCTTGAGCAGATCTTCAGGTGAAAATGAATCTCCTGAAGAAAGCAGTTGGACCATGTATCTTCAAGATTTCTCAAATAATAATAACGACACCATTGATGTAAACGATAACGGCTCCATCCTTTCCCATACCGACCATCGATCCTCTTCTTTGATCCCCGATGCTGCCTGTTCTGCAGCCGGACGGCATGTTTTTGGAGCTGCTTTAGATCACAAGAAGAGAAGGATTAAAAGACCGTCATCGTCTGGTTTTGTTGATCGTGATTTGGAAGACACTGCTACTTCTCCTGCAAATAGTCCCGAGGTCAATCCTTATTTCTCATTTTTTGCTTTTGCTTTTTTCATATGATTAATGGGATTTTGATTTAAATGTCAAAACTTTCATGTTTCTATATAGGTTTATGATCTGGTGAACAAGTTTGATCAGCAGAAAAATGCCATGGGGATATCACAGGTCAGAAATAATCATACATGCATGCATCACTCAGTTGATTTTGAGCTTCGTTTTGAATAAACATTGTGTTGCAGGGAATTAAAGGGGGTGCTTCAGGAAAGATAAACGATGAATTAATGAGTTTTGATGGAGGAGAAGATGTGAACAATGAACTAAAGAAAAAGGGACTTTGTTTAGTTCCTTTGTCTATGGTAGTTCATTATTTAGGTTGATTCCAATGAATTATTGTTGATGTGAAAAATTATATTTAGACATCTCAATTTTTTTTTTGTGTTTGCAAAAATTGAAGTACATGTACATATATTACAAAATTGTGTTATTAAAATAAAAAGAAATATTTACTCAAAACAAAAGTACCCTAACAAAGGTGAAATTTGAATCAAATATTTAAAAAAACTTAAATTACTTAATATAAGAAAAAATATTAAATATTTAAATCTTGAAATTAAGAGAAACAAAGTTATTGTTTAACTAATAATTAAATTAAAAATATCTAAAATGTTATCAGGCTAACATATTGTAGAGGCACCTCCTGTTTCAATCTTTTAATGATTTTGTCACTATATATATGATATTACACAAGAGAAAGATTAAATTCAGAAAAAATAATAAATATGCATGTATAACACATTCTATTGTAAATTTCAATTGTTTCGGTTTTCAATGACGGATCCATTAAGCCGTGAGAACGGGCACTTAAATATTGTGTTCGGCCACCAAAAAAAATATTTTTAGATTCACCATTGTTCATTTTATTTGAAGTATCTATATGTGAAATATATTTAACATTAATACAAAAATATGATCCTCCAACAATTCATAAAATATGTAGAATTTTAAATATATTTATATACTTCAATAAAAAAAATTGTATTCAACACCCACATATGAAATACAAAAAATGTTCATATTCTCAAAAATCGGTTAAATATTGACAATAACACTCACATCATAGGAATTATTATTGTATAAAAAATTATATAAATAAAATGCATTTAAACTAAAAATATAAGGAATTAGGCTGTAGTTACTAGTTAGCCACTTAGCCTTACTAATTAAATTTTAATGCTGCCTAATTAATTAAATAAATTAAATATACTATGAAGAGGGAGGTGATGAAGTTAGGGTGTAGTTACTAATTAGCCTAATTAATTAAATAAGTTAAAGTTGTTGAATTTTGTAAAGTAGGGTTGCGGAGTTTTTATTTGTAAAGCATACTCGAATTTTAAATTTATAATTTATAAAATTACCCTATTAATATAAAAATTTATATTAGTAAAATTATTGTTTAATAATATAAGGTGATTATAAGATATACTTTGTTCAGAATTTTTATTAACTATTGATAATACACATATCCTACAAATGTAACGGTTCAAATTCAGAATCTGATTATCATACAAAATCATTAAAGTAATTAACCATTTCATTTAAAAACTCCATTACTAAAGACCTTTAAAGCACAAATCACTTTAACATAATAACTAAAATAAGTAATAATTATACAAAATATGGAGTTTCATAATTTAAATTATGTATATCAAAATAATAGAATTACATTATGTTATAAGACATATAAGGTCCTAGGAATACATAGCTCAAATAAAAATTAAAGTACTTTACTATGAACTAGGGGTGTAAACGAGCCGAGTCGAGCTCGACTCGACTCGAAAATTCTAAAATGGAGCTCGACTCGAAAACTCGCGAGCTTAAAATTTCCAAGTTCGACTTGAACTCGAAATCCTGAACTAAAGCTCGTGAGCATCTCGAAATGAAAAAAAATTCTTAAACTTAACTTGATTGAAGCCTCAAACTAAAACTCGAACATGAACCTTAAATACATGAAATCTTACTGTATTTTTAAAAAAAATCAATAAATAAATATTAGTATTATTAATAATTTATTTTTAAAAACATAAAATCTTAATATATTATATTTTTCGAGCTGCTCACTAGATTTTCGAGTCGAATATCGAGTAGCTCGTTTCGGCTCGTTAAGAACTCGAGTCGAGTCCATTCGATCCGAGTATTTATCGAGCCTTGATCGAGTCGATCTCGAGAAGCTCGCGATCTGTCTCGTCTCATTTACAACCCTACTCTGAACACATCTTAGTATCGAAATCCCTCTCTGATAAAGTTTCCCAAATTCTATCCAATCTAGTCGCATGTAAACAAAAACATCCGGAAACTGAGTTGATAAGCTCAATGACACACAACCACACGATAATTTATGCAGTTCATAATATAAGCATATGATACAAGTATAGGCATGATTGTATGACAACATCAAACATGAATTATCTAAGCATATATTGTATAATAACAACATATCATGCATTACTACTATTATGAATATCACACAGCACAACATAGATGTATATGGATCATAGGGTCTAGGTCACACAACATTAGACTAAAAAATCAATACAATGTCCAGTTCACATAGCATCAGACATTAGAATGATATGATGTCTGATTCATAAAGCACCAAACACTAGAATGATATGGTTTCTGGTCCACATAACCTCGGACAATCCTCACACGATTTTTCATATGGTGCTAATTCGGTCTACATATCATCAAGTAGCACGAATCATGAATATTCGAGCACTTATACTATACCACATGGTTGTGTATCAAATAAAGTCAATGTGGCTGCATTAACAATCATTGAGCAGTACGTTTAACTGTCTATCATGTTATCTTATATGAAGTCCTTCGATAGTGTCTTCTGTCAATGTCATTTGTCATAATATTTTTTTAATATCTTTCATTAAAGTCTTCCGTTAAAGTTCGTCGTTAGACAATTCCTCCATTAAATAATCATTCACTAAACATTCTAATATAATATATATATCTTTTTGTGTAAATTGAATATCGACATTTATCTTAAAATATAAAATATCTGCATTTAATTAAAATAATAATAACCGATTTTGTATTTCTTTCCATTAAAAAAGCAGATTGTTGAAAGATTCAGATAATATTTTTGACCCAGCTTTGCCCCCACTATTCGAGTTTCGACGTGGCAGATTTAAGAGGACAATTCTCCGACTTAGCAACACTGAAAAATCTACTCTCATCCACAGCATATTACAACCCAATTGATTAAGGAAACCTTGCACACACAAAATAAGGTTAAACTACAACCAAGTTCACTTATGTATTTGATAAATTTTGTTATTAAATTAAAATATTATAACCAAAAATTTAATTGTTATAAAATTTAAATATATGTATATATAATATGATATAATAATACTATTAGTATTTAAAATTTATATATTATATTATTTTTATCTTAATTCAAAAAATAATAAAATTAATCATTCATATTTAAAATTTTCATTAATTTAAATTTTTGTGATGTTTTTGAAACAAGTGAACTCATTAGGTCAAAAAATAGTTGCATAACTAAATATAGTAACAAAAGCAACAAGTTACTGTTAAATTGGTACTATACCATGAAAATAATATAACATTTATGTGAGAAAATAAGTAATTTAGGAGAAGAATAAAGATTGAAATGATAAAAAAAATTAAATACGGATGATTAAATTTATTGAATTGTTTTGAATTAAGACTAAATTGATAGAGTATATAAGTTTTGAGGATTAAAAATATTATTACGCCAGGTTGTGTTACTATTCTCGTTTAATATTTAACTATGACGTATTTGTAATAATATTTTAATTTAGTAACCTCTTTATAACTTTTATAAGAAAAGTATCTTATTTGTTATCAAATTCATAATTAAGTGACCTAGAGTGCAGTTTACCCGAAAATGAATAAATCAAAAAATACGCACGAGAGTTGCATAGTTAAAATGCCTCCTTACTCGGCTCATTCTCTCTATGTTCGTTGCCAGATTTCTTATTTGGATTTAAATTCCCCTTTTTTAATTCCTTATTTTCCATACATTTCTCTCCAAAGAAATCTGATTTTCATTAATATCAGCAGCCATGATTTCTTCCAGCAAGATCAAATCCGTCGATTTCTACAGGTGCAGATCTCTCATTTCTCTTTTTTCATTCATCGCACTTTCGTCCTTTCTTTTTTATAATTTCCTGATGATTGACACAAAATAACAGATCTGAGCATTTCACAGAAAAGCGCAAAACTAATATATATTTACTATATTTGGATTGTAATTGTGTTTATTTGTTTACTGGAAAACCAAAAACAAACAAAAAAAAAAACATTGTTACTATCTAGCATTGGATATTGGAATGTGTTCGTTTGAATAGTTTTAGAGAAACCTTTGTTTGTTTGCTAAAATTTTGATAGTACTTTGATGAATGAACTGAACTTTTTTTTCCTTGATATTATTTTTTCTTTGTTCTATTGGTTTAAACACACGTATACACAGTATACCGGTTTAAGTCCATCTGCTGATGTACTTTGTTTAAGTAAATTTTATAATGATAATCTGTTTTTCTGAAGTTTCTTTCTTTTTCGATTTTATTTCTGTACAGGAAAATCCCTAGAGATTTGACAGAGGCATCGTTGTACGGTGCAGGCTTATCCATTATAGCAGCAGTTGCTATGGTATTTTTATTTGGAATGGTAGGCCACCTTTCTGTTTACTCCACCATCAATTCGATTCGTTTTGACATGCTTGGCCTCTAGTCTTGATTTATCATCTCAAAACAACATTTATGATTCAACATTCTTTTATCTTATTAGTTGTTGTCATTTCCTTTTCTTTGCGCTGATGATAATTATCAGATACATTTGTAGTTTATTAGTTCAACTTTTTGCCTTGAAATGAAAGCAATTCCTCTGTTTCCTTCCCCTACGCCCATTGTAAATAATGGAATTTCTTTTGCAGGAACTGAGTGATTATTTAGCAGTCAGTACCACTACATCTATTGTTGTTGACAATAGTTCTGATGGGGACTTTTTACGTATTGATTTCAACATCAGGTGCATTACTTTTCTTCTGTAATGTTACCCATCAATGTTCTCATTTGGTTGCACTTTTTTTCTTAGTTTAAAGTCCTAACCTTTATGTGGCATTCCTTACCATATGATCTTGAAGATTGCTTTTGTATTTTTGGTTTGTGGTACCATTGATAATTCGGAATTATCTTTGATCACCAAGAGTATTTGGATCACTGAGCTGGATGATTCCCATCCAATAGAGCATAAAACCTTTATCAGTGAAGCACATATGTTAGTATTACTCAATGCGTGAGAAATTTGCGTCCTCTCAAAATTTAATTTTTTATATTGTAAGTTTTTAGCTTTCAAAATAATAGCCATTGTATCAAACTCAAAATCTGTGTATTAATATATATTGTGTTGTGAGTTTTCTTTTTCATCAAAAAAACTTTTTTAATATTATATACATAGGTGGAAAATTGAAGTGAACCTGAAACCCCTAAAAATCCAATTTTATAAAAAAGACAGCCAAATCCAAAAAGTTCAGAGACTGATAATAACTAAACCAGAAAATCCCGAACAAAAACTAAAAGGAGCAGATTATAAACCTGAATTTAAAACCAAAAATAAGAATGGTTGAATTGTAATTAGATAACTTGTTTATAAACCAAAGTTAAAGTTATCCACTCTAATACATTATTATTTTTATGATTTATTTTCAAAAACAAATTTTAATCTGCTAAGAATTTTAACCTTTTATGTATTGATGAATCTACCATCTAACTAAGAATATCTATTGTCTGATTATTAACAGTTAATTTAGAAGTCACTTAAAAATTTAATTTAAAAATTAAATCAATCTTAATATAATAAAACCAGAAAACTAATTTACTTATAAGTAATTGGATTGTGAATAAATGATGAGTGTTTTCTCTTAGAATTGTAAATAATACACTGTTGATTTTTTTTTTATGTTTTATTTTTTAAAGTTCTTCTAAAATAGAGTTTTTAGGATATTGTTGAAAGTATATGGAGATACTTTTTACTAATATATTTCATTTTTCTTAAATTTTAATATAAAGTCAGTATAGATTTATTTGGACATACTTCTCTGGATTTTCTTCAAAACTGTCATAGGGTTTTTAATATGCTTGCGTCTTTACATTTCTGTAATATCCTTGAACATTGTTCGAGCTTTACCTTTGGCTGACTATTCCAAGTGATTTCCAGTTTTCCAGCGCTCTCATGTGAATTCGCATCCGTTGACGTGAGTGACGTCTTGGGAACTGTAAGTTTCTATTCTCAGACTTGTTTCATTTGCTTAATTTTATTGCAAAAGAAAACTTGTACTTCTGTCTAATGCTAAATCTCTTAAAAATTTTCATTACCTTGCTCTCAAGTATTTTATAGCTGCAAGTTTAGTAATGCACTTCGAATGCCTGGCACATAAACTTATCTGATAATACTTTTATGCAGTTTGCATGGATATTTGTGTTAATATTTTCCTTTCAATAATTTTTTCATTATTTTTTCTTCAAGGTGCCTTAATGTTTTTCCGGATTGGCATTTACCATTTATGTGTTGGTCCATATGACTAAATTTGTGTCTTCTGCTTTCAGAACAGGTTGAATATAACAAAAACAATCCGGAAGTTTTCAATAGATCCACAATTAAGACCCACTGGTGCTGAGTTTCATCCTGAACCTGTTCCTCATTCCATTAAGCATGGAGATGAAGCTGATGAAGAACCTGTTGAGGGTGCCGTACCATTAAATAGCAGTAACTTTGACAAATTTTCACATCAGTAAGTGGATTAATTCAAGTTTTCAAGCGATTCAATTTTGTGTATTATGTGCTCATCATGGGTCTTTCTTTGCTAAATGCCAATTTTGGTGATACCTCTATTTACTTGATTTGATTTTTTTTTCCAGGTATCCAGTTTTAGTCGTTAATTTTTATGCTCCTTGGTGCTTCTGGAGTACTCGCCTGGTAATCTACTATTAGCATGTCTGATCTTTCACTTGAAGATACTTGTTGAAAACATTATTTGTTTAGCTCTTCTGTGTAAAGTGGCCCTCAAGCATAACTTGTTATACTGATATAGTTGCCATATCTTCTAATTATAGTAATCCCTTTTCTGACTTTATATTCTTCATTTATACTATTATATTTAACAACCCCCCTCTTTTTTCTTTTCTTTTTTTTAGGATAAATGAGCATTTCAATAACCTCTAATATGCTTTATAGTCCGATATTTTCTTTAGTGGACCCTACTTTGTGAGGCCCCGTGTCTACCTTTAAACAAACACATATTTGTTTCAATATTAAAAAAACAAAATATCATTTTGTATGAATTAAACTCTTGCTTCTAATGAGTTTGAAATCTTAGGTCAAACTGATAGTAATGACATTCTTTGAGCTGTTATGAATTATGACTAACTATATTTGCTCTTTTCTACCACTGAATGCTTCGAGGCTTCTTCACTTGTAGTAGCTTCACCATGTTCTTTTTGGGTTTCAGAGCTCGCCATGGGAGAAAACTGCCAATATAATAAAAGAGAGGTCCGAGAATGCATTATTTCTCTTCCGTGGAACAAATTTATAAGTACTTTCTTGATTTGGCAATGAATTTTGCACCCTTGCTTTTGACAGATATGATCCAGAAAGTGATGGACGTATTCTTTTGGCAAAGGTTGATTGCAGTGTAGAAGTTGACTTGTGTAGTAGGTATGTCCTTGTTTCATTTTCTATCACATGTAAGCTGATGCTTTATTGTTTGATAACATGAGCATATGTCATCATTTGACCTGTTATAATCTAAGAAATAAACCGAAAGAGAGGGAAAGAATAAAAGAGGTAATGCAAGAGAAATCTGATTGTTGAATTAGGAGATTACAATAGTTTAAATAAATTGAGTTGCTGACTTCTAATACTTTTCTGCTAAAGATACAATTCTATCTAGAGATAGAGATTATAAAGACTCCTAATCCTTCCTAATCATAAAAGACTCTTAAACAAATGAGACTTCAACACGGCTGATTCTGACATGACCATGCATTCTGATCTCTTTGACGTTGCAGATACATATTAATATTTATCACATCATATATTTAAACTATGCTTTCTTGCTTGTTGTATAGAATTATTTCCCAAAATTTTCATCTTTTTATAGCTTTACCACATGTTTAATCTTTCTCTTTCTTCCTTAACTAGTTTCTTCATTACTATTGTGCTCACTTGTTCCGTCTTCTTCTCAACACAGTCATCACATCCAAGGGTATCCATCCATTCGTATTTTTCGTAAAGGCAGCGATGTGAGGTAAAAGATTGTTTAATCCGTTCTTCCTCATTCCACCTTTTCTTTATGCCACTATTTACTCAATAATATTATATTCCAATATGTTAAGCTTCCACTTCTCTTTGACCCTAATTACTTTCCTTTAGGCTATTTAGTACCACTGAACTTTATGATCTGTGCAATACAGACCTTATTCTCTGACCAGTAAGTGTTTCAGGGAATCCCATGGGCACCACGAACACGAATCTTATTATGGAGATCGTGATACAGAAACCCTGGTTAAGGTATGACTAAATTAGTTTTAAACCGGCCATTTGAGTTTATAGATCGGTTACAGAAATCTTATAAGATAAAGGTGCATACATGACCTAATGCTGCTGTCTGTTTCTTCCAGATGATGGAAGAATTGGCCACTTCTATTCCGCAGGAGAACCAGAAGCTGGCTTTAGAGGATAAATCCAGTGTTACAAAACGACCAGCACCATTGACGGGAGGATGCAGAATTGAAGGATACGTGCGTGCAAAGAAGGTGATAATTATAATATTAGATTAGACTGACAATTGTACATATTATTTGGCATATAATTAGTTTGTCGAATCATTTATGTTTAACCTTGAGATAAATGAGGAGCTGAAAGTATTACTTGAGTTGCACCGTGCAGGTTCCTGGCAACCTTATCATCTCCGCTCGTTCAGGAGCCCATTCTTTTGATGCTTCTCGAATGAACATGTCTCATGTCATACGCCATCTTTCTTTCGGTAAAACAGTTTCACCTCAGGTATTAAGTGATGTCAAGCGACTCATACCTTTTCTTGGTAGAAGCCATGACAAGTTGAATGATCAATCGTTCATTAATCACCGAGATGTAGATGCCAATGTCACTGTAAGTTTTCCCTTTTTTGCGACCCTTTTTATTGAATTGCTTGTTTTACCTTGATTGATTGCATTTTCAGATAGAGCATTACCTTCAAGTAGTAAAAACAGAGGTGGTTACAAAAAAATCTTCTCGCGACCAGAGAATTGTCGAGCAATACGAGTACACGGCGCACAGCAGTCTGGCACAGAGCCTGCACATACCTGTTGCAAAAGTTCATTTCGAGTTATCTCCTATGCAGGTTATTCTTCAAACGATATCCACTTATATTTACCTTCCAGTCTTGTAACCGGATTTTTGTTCCAATTTCGTACTCAGGTTTTGATAACAGAAGATTCAAAATCATTTTCACATTTTATCACCAATGTCTGCGCTATAATCGGAGGTGTTTTCACGGTTAGTATCTTACTACAAACCCATCTGAACTGATTTTTCTTTTCTGTTTCGAAACCCATTATCGGTAAAAATCTTGTGTGTCAATTGCAGGTTGCTGGGATTTTGGATTCTGTTTTTCATAATACAATTAGGCTGGTGAGAAAAACAGAATTAGGCAAACATTTTTGATAGACAGGCAAAAACGAATTTGTTATTCTGTAGAGTTCTAATTAGTGAAGATTTTCCCCAAGGAACACAACTCTAAATGTAGCCCTTTTGCATATAAAATGAAAGCCCCATCATTTTATTTCTCATTTTCTAGTTGCTATAGCAGGAAAATATGTTATTTGGATTTTTTTTTTAAATGCTGAAGTATTCGTGCTCTATAATGTGTTCAAACATATGTCCTGAGATAAATACAGAATTTGAGGAATATCAAAACAAAGAAATATATATGAAAAAAAGGAAGGAAAAAAAGAAGAAGAAATCCAACTCATGACTGAAATTAAGGGTGAACAAAACTTGATTTGACTTCAAAATTTTTTTTTTATAGATTTGACTCAACTCCAAAATATTCGACTCGAATTGATTTCGAGTTGTAATTACTAGACTCGAAAAAAGATTAAATTTGAGTCTAGATATATAATAGAACTTGAATAACTCAATTTTTTTAATAATTAATGAATTGATTTTCAAGTTTGAGTCGAGTTTTTCGATTCTATATGATATTTTTTTATACATAACTCTATGATATATGTATATCACATTTGAAGAAAATATGAATATATATATATATATATATATTGTATATGGTTATAGAAAATCATCTAAATTAGAATCAAATAGTATCATAATATTGTAAATATTTACAATTAAATTTAAACAGAAACTCGATTAACTCGACTCGAAATTTTTTTATATCAAACTTGAGTTATAAAATAAGATTCATCAACTCGAATAATTCAAAAAAATTTAACTTGACTCAGTCAAATGCTCACCTCTAACCAGAACCATGCTTCAGTTATGCTAGAAGAAGAGTTGAAGCAACACGCTCCCATAACTCATGAATACTGAAGAAGCTGCATTTGGTGGTTTAAATTCATCACTCGGTTGACGGAGGTGCAGCAGGAGACTCGGCAGAAGGTGACGGAGGTGTTATTATATCTATTGAACTCGAAGTCGCAGGAGGGTTTCGTTTGCAGTTGAAGAACGAGTAACGACTTCTACTCTTTTTGGGGATGGAAAAAGGCAATATCATAAAATAGTAATTCTATCTGTTTAGAATCTAATTTTAAGGTGTAATTATAAAATATAAATTTGTCTCCATAATAGAGATTCTACGCCCTTTAATATATAATCTTAAAAAAGATTATGTATAAAGATTTAATCTTTAAAATATAAATTACCAACATATTATTGATCAACCGAAACCCAATTCCTGTAAGTTATAGAAAACGAATTTCTCCAATATGTATATCATGGATTTTTCAACACGAAAATTGTAGCAATTAAGAGTGCAATTACCGAGCCAAACTTATTAAAGGAGATGAACTCAAACCAATCAAACTCGAATTCGAAGGGATGAAAAACCAATCAAACTCGAATTCGAACTGGTCACCATTCAAACTCGATTACAGCTCGTCTGAATACAACAGAATATAAGCTCTAATTGCAGCCTATCTTACTAGAACATAATATAATCATATAAGAATGATATGAATATTTCAAATACGAATATTTCAACAAATATGTGGAAGGTCTAAGCAACATAGATTTTAACTTTGAATAATAGAGAATCAAACTCCCATTGATTTCATCATCTAACGATAAAGGGTCCAGTGAACTTAAACACACACGATGCATAAGTTGTTATCAAACCGACATAGAAACAAAATAATCGCATAGACATATAACCTAATGAGATGGCTGTTATTTCCTGCTTCGACATACGGACAGCGACTTGGCAGAAAATTTCACAATGCTGCAGGCTTAGAAACCATGGATTTTGATGTTATCCTTCTTCACAATGCCAGCCTGATCGAAAATAAAACATGAATTCCGATTAGGAGATCATACACCACATAGCATCCATTGTGCTTTTGCATAAGCTCAATTAAGACATCAAAATATTCCAAGAAGCAATAACACAATTACCTGAACAAGGAAGGTCGATACATTCTTGCGCTGGTCACCTTGAAGTTGAATAACCTAGATATAAACAGCAACATAACAAACTTTACAACCAGGTACCAATAAGAGATACCGATAAAGCGAATAACCTCTTAGTAAGGGGTTATATATACACCTGTCCTAGTTCAGGGTCCTGGACCACGGTGCCATTGCAGCAGAACTCCTTCTTGAGGTCTTTAAGTATCTTGTTATAGCTGAATTCTTTCTTCAACCCCTGGACAGTTGTCAAGCTTTTCCGACCATTCCTTTGCTGAATACGAATATGCACGTACTCCTTTGAACCAGCACCTGAGTCCTCAGCATTTGCATCGGCAAAGGGATCTGACACAGAAAATACACAAGTTAAAACCATATTAACTACAAAAGACAGATTGAAAACGATGGTAAATATTGGAAATCAAGTAAGTTATGATAGAATCATACCAAAAGCAGTAGGAATTTGAACGTCAAGATCAGACATGAAACTTAGTTGATCAAAGAGGCCTAACGACCACAAATTCAGACCTAAAATACAGAACAATGACAACATCAAATTCGGCATATCTCTATTCTCTATATATCATATCACCATAAAAAATAAGAATAGTTTTCAGGTAAAACAACATAATCATAACAAGAATCATACTTGTTTGAAATAACCGAGATTCGAACTAGTAATAGCAAAGGCTAAGTTGCAAATTCACTGTCCGATCTTCAACTCTTATATTATTGAAACCAAGTCATAAAAGAATGTACCAACAATTTAATTACAGATATCATTACCACAAAATCCCAAAGACGAGAAGATTATAGATTCACTATTTAGATTGAATTTATTTCAATCTAAACTACTTACCTGAAAAAAAATAAACAAAGAAAAGTTAACCTTGAATCTTAAATCTTGAGCCTTCTTCTTCAGATGAAAATATTCTTAATCGAAAATAAGTATAATCTTTTATCATAAGCATATAATCAAAACCCAAGATCAATCAACAGCCGATAAAGAAACGATCTTTAAACCACAAGCAGGAAAACAAAATAGAGAAGATAACGGAGAGGAAAAGTTACCTGATCCGAGGATTTTAGGGTTTCTTTTAGAAAACTGGGATTGGGGATTATCGGGGGGGGAACCCTAAAATTCGGATAGAGTCTGAGAGGCGTTTTGGGGGGCGGTGGTGGAGTTTAATTTTGTTCGTTTTGAGTGGCGAGGAAATTAAAAGGAAAATACTTTTTTTTTTTCCGGCAGTTGTACGCAACTTAAGGTGATGGGAATCTGTACTCTCGGGATTTATGATGAAGAACTCGTACTCGCTAGAATCATATTTTGATTATTGAAATTGGAAACGTGGTGCGTGATAGAATGAAGCGTGAGTTTCACTGTCGATGAGGGGGTCCAGGGGTAGGATTGTCAAACGGATGTGGAATTTTTTCTCTTTCAGAAAATACAGGGTTCGGGTTTAAACGACGTCGTTTGACATCCGGGAAAAACCTCGAAGCCAGCAGGTGCGGTTGTCGTCTAAACCGGATAGGTTAGAACAGAAGTGGATTAAGTTCCGGATAAGATTCGCAGATGGACCCCACAGTCCAATCAATTCAATCGAATTGTATTCCTCAACACTAATACATTTGTCGATTAACATTTACTTTATAGAATATAATAAGATGAAAGTGTTCATATAACCCATTAGTGATCATAAACACAATTGTACCTTGTGTACGTGTCTAACAAGATTTACTACACAATTGATCACCATAAATTTTGATAAGTCGAAATCATACTTCCAGATGCTTATGAACTACTTTCATGGAAGTAAACAAAACATCTCTACATCCTAGGAGATACCAACACATACAAGTTTTATTTTTCAAGGTGATTGAGTTTAACCAATTAAACAAGGAAAACCATATAACAAAATCAAACATTTGTGCCCCCCCCCCCCACAAATGGATCGTAGCAGTCAATTTGTTTTTCTTTATTTACCGTAAAGATATTAGTTAAAGAAAAACAAAAATAGCAACCGAATCACAGCTGCTGGTAAAACAATCAAAACATGACAACATAATACATTATTTAAATATAAATTAATCATAAATAATTATTACTCTAGACTTAAAACAGAGTATAAGTGAATAGAACATTCGAATGAATTATCTATGAATCGCTCGTATTACGTTTGTTTATGTTTATTTATTAAGTTGAACAAGCAAGCATGAACAAAATTTTTATATTCATTTAATAAACGAACAAATATGAATAATGAAGTGTTTGAATCGTTTATGTTTACAAACAAACTCGTTTATTGACTTGTAATAAAAGCTAATTTACTTGATTCTCTTTTTCTTTCTTTTTTACATTTTAAATATTAGTGAAAATAAAGACTAAATTTATCATAAGATAAACTTTGAAATTCTTAATCTTAAAAAAAATTAAAAACTAATAATTTTATTTTATCATTATTTTTGACTTACAAATAAAAAGATAAAAAGAGAATTTTTATTGCTTAATACTAAAATTTAAACAAGTATAAGTACAATACTAGAATTATAAACGAATATAAATTCTTTTAAAAATAAAACAACAAATACATTCACCTACACAACTTTGTTCATTCAAAGTCACTCATTTTAAAACATGTTGAAAATAATAGTTTAGTAAAACATATTCTTTGCTCCTTTGATGTTTATTTTGTTTACCCCATATACGCATAAGGGATTGATGTAGTGGCTGCGGCCTCATTTACTTCGCGTTTAAATATCAGTGCCCAAAATTCTAAGCAATGAAATTGTTTATCAGTCGATAAATTATCAACTTAGTTTATATTTATAAGATTATAAGCAACTTAACCTAGAGGTTCCAATGAATAAGAAGGATTCAAACAACCATTGAAACTTTAAAGAAAACAGCTGTTATGAAAATGACATTTATTTAACGAGATCGTACTGGCGACCCGAAACTTCAACCACAAACAAGGACACTACAAGTTTTTTAAGATATTTATTTTGAGTACAAGCAGACAGCAGCAGCATAGCAAGCACATACACATAAACCATCAATATAAACCACTGGAGACAACAAACATGACTGGACTGTCGTAGGGTTCCAGTCCATAATTCACACTTAAAAGCCACCACGGAGTCGAAGGACCAAGTGCAAAGTTGATTCCTTCTGGATGTTGTAGTCTGCAAGGGTCCTCCCATCTTCAAGTTGCTTCCCAGCAAAGATCAACCTCTGCTGATCCGGGGGGATTCCTTCCTTATCCTGGATCTTGGCCTTAACATTATCAATCGTGTCAGAGCTCTCAACCTCCAGGGTGATGGTCTTCCCTGTGAGTGTCTTCACAAAAATTTGCATCCCACCACGAAGGCGAAGCACCAAGTGGAGGGTGGATTCCTTCTGGATGTTATAGTCAGCCAAGGTACGCCCATCCTCAAGTTGCTTACCAGCAAAAATCAACCTCTGCTGGTCTGGGGGAATACCCTCCTTGTCCTGAATCTTGGACTTGACATTATCAATCGTGTCTGAGCTCTCAACTTCCAAGGTGATGGTCTTCCCAGTGAGTGTCTTCACGAAAATCTGCATACCACCACGAAGACGGAGCACCAAGTGGAGGGTGGACTCCTTTTGGATGTTATAGTCGGCCAAGGTGCGCCCGTCCTCCAATTGCTTACCAGCAAAAATCAACCTCTGCTGATCTGGGGGGATACCCTCCTTGTCCTGAATCTTGGCCTTAACATTGTCAATCGTGTCCGAGCTTTCAACTTCCAAGGTGATGGTCTTCCCCGTAAGTGTCTTCACAAAAATCTGCATACCACCACGAAGACGAAGCACCAAGTGGAGGGTGGACTCCTTCTGGATGTTATAGTCGGCCAATGTGCGGCCATCTTCCAGTTGCTTACCAGCAAAAATCAACCTCTGCTGGTCTGGGGGGATACCCTCCTTGTCCTGAATCTTTGCCTTTACATTGTCAATGGTATCTGAACTCTCCACCTCCAATGTAATGGTCTTTCCGGTGAGGGTCTTAACAAAAATTTGCATACCACCCCTCAATCGAAGGACCAAGTGGAGTGTGGATTCCTTCTGAATGTTGTAGTCAGCAAGGGTGCGGCCATCCTCCAGCTGTTTACCAGCAAAGATAAGCCTCTGTTGGTCTGGAGGGATTCCCTCCTTGTCTTGGATCTTGGCCTTCACATTGTCGATTGTATCAGAACTTTCCACCTCAAGGGTGATGGTCTTGCCAGTGAGGGTCTTGACGAAAATTTGCATCTGTATGGAATCAAAATAGAACACAAATAAGACTAAATAAACCAAAGAATGACACAGGTTCTCCATAACCAGATCCGAGCCAAACAAAACAAATCAAATATAACTTCTCAAGTAAATATGCAAAAATCCCATGGGTAGGGTCTTAAAAAATACGATTCATGCACTAGCTAATATTATCCATCTTGTTTTGATGTTGTAAACCCTAATTTCACCTCTTTTTAAATAATAGAGTCCAGGCCATAAATTTTATTAGAAAAAGGTACAATATAGATGTATGTTCTGCGATTGAATATTTTATAACCCTCAAATAGAAGAGAGGAATCCTAGCTTCGATTCATAAGGTTCATGGAACATTTACTCGGGAGATGAAACGAAGAATTCATAATCGAATCAATTAGAAGCAGAAGCAGAAAATCAATTTATGGTCTACGATTGAATTATAAGAAAACCCTAAACACCATAAGGTAATAATATCCCTATCCTTGGTTCATTAAATTCATGGGAAACATTCAAGAAATAAATAAATAAATTCAAGTTAAAACTACTAGAATCGAAAACACAAAAAGAAAGGCAGAAATTATAGAGAATTTATTTACCTTGAAGAAGGATTTAGGAAAGGGCTTGGGTCGATCTATTAATCTCACGATTCTTGAATTTGCCAGGTATAGATCGCCTTACTTTATAGGCGGAACTAGCATGTCAAATGACGCAAAAGGGCTTGAGTTCAACCAATTGAATGAGACCGCGTGTTATACTCGCGTCTTTTAACCCTTAATGTGGCCTGCACGCCAGGATTACAATTGGATTATTGTCGTGGTGTGCAAGGATACTATTAGGAGATTCCAGTTAAAGACGCTCGAGTTCAAAATACGCGCTTGAATGATGTCAAAATGAACAAGTTTAAATTTAATTAATATTTTATTTAAAGCCATTATTATATTTGCACCAAACATTTGATATTTTTTGTTGGGTAAACTGTTGAAATGGTCTTTTCAATTTTATAAGTATCCACTTTTGGTCATTAAATTTTAAAATAATATTTTGATCACTTGCACTGTCGATTATAGTAGTGTTTGGGTGAGACAATCTCCATGAAAAATGAAGAAGGAATAAAGAACAGTTCACGTATCTGCTAAATGTATATCTAAAGTTTGAAGGTTAAATTGATATTTTATCTAAAGTTTTTTTAATTAAATTAGTATTTTATCTAAATTTTAAGAGTCAAATTAAAAAATAATTCTTTTATTGACATAACACATCATCAAACTAATGACATTTAAGGTCGCAGACACCAAAATATTATAAATCGATACCATAGTTACCAAAACATAACTTTTTTAAATTCATGACCAAAAGTAAATATTTATGAAAATAAAATGATCATTTTGATAATTTACCGTCTTTGTTTTATATTTGTATACTTGGGCATTGAAGATGTCAAAACCATACTATATTCTATAAATAAATATCTAGATATTGGTTGTGGATAGAGCCAACCCAAGAATTAGGTAATGCTAAAAATAAAATAGAAAAATAATAATTAATTTTGTCTAAAAGTAGCTTATAATATAAATCTGTATTAAAAAATTTATTTCAAATTAGTATTTGATTATTTTTTTAAAATTAATATTTATATTGATTTGATACCGACATGATAAAACGATTAAAATAATGATATTATTTCATGTCATTAGTCATTATTCGATTGATTATTAAAATATTATGTTAATAACATATATTAATTGAATCAATTGAGTGGCATCCGTAATTAAAGAGAGTGTTGTTGTCTTTTAAGGTCCAGAGTTCGAGTATTTATGTTTGCAATGTGTGTGTTGTCAACGATTAAGAAAGATTATAAACATATAAAAAATATATTATAAATTTGAATACATCAGTCGACCTTAGTGGTAAAAGAGAATGTTATTATTTTTAAAGGTCTCAAATTGAACAAATGTATCTATAGAGTGTGTGTATTGTTAATGATTAAAAAATATTCTAAACAAATATTATCTCTTGTAATTATATCGTACTATTTAAATATGTATATATTATAAATCTTTATACATTCAAAATTTAGTATTTTTATTTTTTTAATAATTTAGTATATTTATATTTTAAATTAAAAATTCAAGATCACTTATTAATTTATTAAATTTATTGATGTATTGTTTTGTAATAAAAGAAATGCGTAATAGTTGTGGAATAAAAAAGTTGATATTTGTAGCAAATTAAAATTTTTAAAAATCAATTGTCAATATTTGAATTTTAGTTTTTAAATATATAAATTAAATTAAATTCATTTTAGAAGTAAAAATATTACAAAATACGAAAATACGAAAAAATACCCAAAATTCGAGATTTTTTAACCAAAAGTATAGTATATAATTCTATAATTATTCCCGATAATATTTTAATCAAAAGTATTTATATATATATATATATATGAGTTAAAATCAAGTTACACAATGTAAAATTATTTTGTTTTATATAAATTTAAGAGTAAAATAGATAGATGAGATTAACTCTTTATTTTTTTTTTCCAGTGAATATTTTTTCATTTCCTATTGTTAATCTCAACCATATATTTTCATTCATCTAAAGATTTTAAATATGTATAAAACTAAAAAAGAATTTTACATTGTGTAATATTATTTTATCCTTATATATATATATATATATATATATATATATATTGCTTTTGGGTTAATTCGCTAATTTGGCCTTTATTTAATAATAAAAAATAATTTTAAACATTATGTTTCTAATAATTGCAATAGTGAGATTAGTACTTAAAAAATGAAACGGATATCAAACCAGCGAGACATTCCATTACAGATCCAACCAATTAATTATACTAAAAATTAATGAAAAAACATTCAACTAAATATTTTTAATACTAAATAAATATTGAATATAAAAATATAAAAAATAAATATATTTCTAAACAGATTAATATCGCTTAAACATGTCTTGAGTTCAAGTCATTATGTATGTAGAAAATCCCCGTTAGGAAACTTACCCACCAAAATCAAGTATGTGGCTCGGATCGATCTGAATTAATTAGGACAAAACTTTGAGAATCGAGAATACGACAATATATATATATATAAACTCAATAAATTAAATGTTCAAAATCTTCATTGTTTTTTAAGGCTTAATACAATAATAAGTGTATAAAGTTAGGTGCTTAAAAGTTTTTGTTGTTGTTGTTAAAAGTAGGTGTTTATCATTTTTCTCATTAAAATTTTAGGCGTCTAATTTAAAAAAAAAATTATATTTGTATACATTTAAAATAAACCCTAAAAGTATCTAAAATCACAAAATCAACACTGAAAATAAATCATCACCTTCAATTTTGAAATGTTAGCAGCAAATTCACACTTTAAACTACACCAGACTCTTATTAAAGTGAAAGAAACGGTCGGCAATGGGTATTTGAGATTAGGGTTAGATTTTTTTGTACTCATAGTTCCAAGGGTTTGTTTTGATTAATCTGAACCGACCTGCGTCGTACACTTATCATTGATTGGTGAGTCTCCCAGTAGGGATTTCCTGCATACACAAGAGTTCGAACTCGAGACCTTGATTAAACGATATCAAATTGCTTACAACTAGGATTTTGACATTAGATGTAAGGAATTAAGTTTTGGATTTATGGATTTATAGGAATTTAAACGATGACAAGAGGTATGGTGATAGTAGAGGTCCGACGACGGATCAATAATCGTTCGACGATGGCAAGGCTGTCAGTGATGGAAAGTGATAGAAGGTAATGGAGTTTGAACTTGGAACGAGGGATTTTAAAGTTTTGGAGTTTTTTTAGATTTCAGAAAAATTTGAAATTTTTAATTAGTAATACTATTAAGTTTTTTAAAACAAAAATATTTAAAAATTTATAAAAGTGACACATGTAAAATAACAGTCAAATTTAACGATCATTATGACATAGGCACCTAAAATTGTAACGGAAAAAACATTAGACACATACTTTTAACCAAAAAAAATCATTAGGCATATAAAATTAAAAGTGTAGTTTTCTTAAAACTATTGTTCTCTTTCATAGTGACCATCGATGTTTTAATTTCGTCAATCAAATCACTCAACTATTTAAATGTTTCAATCAAGCCACACGTCGTTAAAATTTAACAAAGAAAGTGATGTGACAGTTAAAATTTTTGGTATAATAATACATTTGGTCCCTATTACTTATATATTTTATCAGTTTGGTCCCTATTACTTATATAATGACATGTTTCATTATACCTATCATCAATGACACATGGCATCATCTGATTCGAGGGTTAAATTTATTTTAATTTATTAAAATTAAGACTCAATTGATAGAATATATAAGTAATAGGGACCAAATGCATATTTATACCAAAACTTTTAATTGCCATGTAACCTTCTCCGTTAAATTTGAACGACAAGTGGCTTGATTGAAGCATTTAAATAGTTAGGTGGTCTAATTGACAAAATCGAAACATCGATTGTTAAAATGAAAGAGAGTAATAGTTTAGTGCTCGCCCGTATAGTTTACCCTTATGAACATCTCAAAATCCATTTTTTTCCACATGGAATTAGGCAAGTCAATCATAGGCAATGTCTAGGTTGTTAGTTACACATTTCCAAGTAATTTCCTCAGCATTAAATGGGAATTATTTTGACAAATTATTTTATCAAGTTAAGTCTTTCTTTAATGACAATAGCATTATTTAAATTAAATCAACTTTATCAGACTATTATTGTAAAATAAAAGTTCGCCAAGGACATGCAAACCAATTGTTCTTTACCTCTAATACAGAAAAAGCTTTTCAAAAGCCAACATGTGACGTCCTTGGCCCTTCATTTTCCATCATTTCTTATTTCTCAACCCCTAACCTTTAGCAAAACTTCACCGGAGAAACCGATTTCGGTCGACGGCGGACATGTCGGCTTCCCGTGATCAACAAGGTTGTGGATGTTGTGGTGGCATCTTCAGTTTGGGTCTTTCTGCAGTTTTCTTGTGGCTATGGATACATACTTCAAACCCCAGATGCTCCATTCAAACTCTTTCCTTACCTTCACTCAGCAGAGCCTCAAACCTCACAACTGACCCTACCTTAAGCCTCTCGCTAAGGTTAGTGAACCCGAACCAGCTCAAAGGGATCCAGTATGATCTTCTGAACGTCACGGTTTATGATTTTCCGAACAAAAGTAACGTCGTAGGTAACATTTCGATGCCGGGATTTTACCAGGGCTATGCAAAGAAGGCTTCAAAGCTTGGTCAAGGGATAGCTAACATGACGGTGGCTTTACCGGCGATATCGGAGAACGGAAAGGGAGTTTTCCGGGTGCAGATGGCGACGGCGGTGAAGTTTAAGACCATATATGGGTATTCGAAGAGGCATAGGATTAGGGTGGGAGCAGATGTGGTGGTCAACGCTAGTGGTGTTAAGGTTGGTCCTAAAGGGATCAGGCTTAGGTCGATGGCACCGAAGATGGGAAGTTCTTGTGTGGTGCTTCTGGGAGCTTTGGTGCATTTCTTGGTCTTCACTTTGCTTCACTTTTGGTGAGTTGTTGCTTTACTGTTTTCGATGTTGACAGCAAGTTAATTATTTGTGTTTGAGGCTCGGAAATTTTTTAACTTGAGTCGTAACAGTTTACATGTACTGATATATTGGAATGTAAATGAGTTTACCATTGAAGGCCTAAATGTCTAGGCATCAATCTTTGTTCACGTGTACAAACTAGCGAATGTCCGATTTATTTGATTTCAACTTTAATATCATGTTTACCTATACGAAGAACTTCCGCCCTGTAGTTTTATCAGTTAATAATATGCTCCCCGTGACCCAAGAAAACCAGTTCATTATGTAAACCATATTCCAAAACTTTTCCCTTCTTGATAAAGCCGATGGAATCGACTTTTTGAACCGGTGAGCGACAACTACACATGTTCTGTTGACCATCATTTTCACAAGTGCTTCTTGAACCAAGTTTTCTGATACACTATCAAGCGCGCTGGTGGCCTTATCCTGTAGGAGAATTGAAAGGTTCTTCGGCATGATAGCGGAACACCTATTTCTCCACAATCCGTGTCGTAGCCATCTTTCATCCCGCTGCAAAACACAACACAAAAATGGGGTTTTCATTGAGTTTGCACCTATAATTTCAGAGTTCCTGGTTCTTGATTAGTCGTTTTTCAGCGATGATTTAGTGTCGTTGGTCATCTTCCTAATAATGCAGTTGACATACCTTATGAATTCAGGTTTAGACCCATAAAGATCATTTAACCGGGTCTGGTTGGGTATGCAAAGAACACATTTTTCAGTAGTACTTGTCCCGAAATCGACTTTTTAATCTCTAGACCCCATGTGATATCAGGAATCAGGATCAATCTCACTTTTCCTATCAAGGACAGCAAAACTTATCAAATCGATTGATATTATTTTTTAAATAATTTGAGGTGATTTTCATAATTTTTTTTAATTATAGGCAACGAACACATACTCTACACGTTACAGATACACTGCTTAAACCCGAAACCATATGAAGTAAACAACACTCGTTCTTACCATCGAAACGTTCTTTCTGAAATATCTATGTCCGATACGTGTAAAAAGAGACGTATAACCGTATAATTGTACCAGATATTTAGTTATTAGATTTGGGTTTTAGGGATCCGATCCAATTTTTAGACTGCATTTTGAAAGGAAAATTCTAACATATCATCTGCAAAATAAACATCATTAATTCTTCATTAAGGAACAAAGTCATTTTTTTGTAAAAAAAAATGAGTCACCAGTTACAGGATCATAAGTTAATGTCATCAAAGAAGGATTTTGTGTGTTAAGAGCTTGGTCATGGCATCGCCAATACATGGGTATAAAAAGCCTTAAAGACAAAGGGGGTGATACAACCAGGAGTTTTTGTTTGGAACGATGAAGAAACCATATCATTATTGTGATAATTACAACACAAAATTCTAAAAGTTCCAAATTTTATACCTTTCCTCTCAAAAAGAATTCGCCACAATAATGGCTTGCCTGCACCTAGCTTTAGCCTGTTCCAGCCTCTCATTCAAGGTCTCCTCTTTCACAGCAGCTTTCACCATAGCCAAATCCATTTCCATCAACCTCAAAACCCTAGACAACTCCGTCACCATCCTATCTTCCACTTTCCCTTCATCCCTCAACACTTCGGCTTCTTCCCTCGCCCTTTCCGCCACGATTTCCCCCGCTTTACCCAACAGCTCCGTGGACCCGAACTCTCTCCCCATCAACCCTTCCAACTTCTCCAAAAAATCCATTATCACATACCCCGTCGGCTTCTCCAAGTTGATCTCCTTCGTCCTCCTCCACCCCACCTCGAAATTCGGTGGCTCCGATTTTGCAATCTCGGGTCTCGGCTTCCTTTCTCGGATGATTTCGGATCTTCTTCGTTTCTCGATGGGGAAGTTTTCCGGGCTTATGGTTGTTTCGTGGTTGATTGGAGATGGGAAATCTGCAGGTTGATGATTTGGAGATGAATTGTGTGAGTTTGGAGACGTGCATTTGATGGTGAAATGTAATGGTTTTGGTGGGTTATTGTTGGAGATTGATAAGAGGCTTGAGATACGGTTAGTAAGAAGGTTTGGGGGAGAAAGGAAGTGAAGCAGAGTGGACGCCATGGGAGATTTTTTTTTTTTTTTTGGTAAACGCAGAGCAAAATTGAAGAAGATAAGGCTATAAATATGGCAGAAATTCTTACTGCTGTTTGCTGGAGATATTGCATAAATATCCACACGAGTTTGGATATGCGGTGTCGACGTATCAACAATTAGTAAATGTAATTATGCATCCTGATTTTGTAAAAAATATATATATATTTTTAAAAAATAAAAAATAATATTTGTATTTTATTTGAGGAGGGTGGCAAGGGTATTTTGAGTTTTATATTAAATAATTAATAAATTAAACCATTCTTTAAGCAATATTTTATTTTGTTTTAAAAAATTTAATTAAATATTAAATATTTAAATTATATTTTTTATTTATTTTTAAAATATTTATTTTTAATCAAAATAAACACTCAAAATTATTATTAAAGGTGTTTGATTATTAACATTCGTTATACAATTCTATTATTTAATTATGCTTAACACATAATATATATATAATTTTAGAATGATCTATTTTTATACAATTCTTAAATTCTTAAATTACCGAAATATCTAAAACTTAAATTTATAAATCTTACATTGATATTGAATCAACTATCATTGATCATCCCTTATATCATAAAACTCACATCTATCGATCATCTTTCTTACTATTATATGCATATTATCATCAAAAATTATATGTCATCTTTAGATATTGTCGTACAAAATTTCTTTTTTATTTGAATAAAAAATATATTTCAAATACTTACTTTTTAGTTAGGTTTTTATTTTATTGTAAATTTTAGTTTGATGTATTTGAGTTAGGTTTAATGCAAAAATAAGTACTCAAATTATATTCTAAATTAATTTTGGTGCCTAAAGAATTTTTAGTTAAAAATACGTGTCAAACGTTTTCTCTATTACAATATTAAGTGCAAAATGTTTTTTTCGTGACACTTTTCAGTGTCTACGTAGTAACGACTGTTAAAAAATCCTTTAAATAACACATTTTATGTTTATATTTTGCCTTAATACAAAATAATTGCTCAAACTATACTTTAAGTTAACTTCATATGCCTAATATTTCCGACGTTATAATTTTAAGTGCATGGGCTATAACGACTGTTAAAAAAAACCTTTAAGTGACATGTGTTATATTTATATATATTTTAAAATTTTATATTTTTAAAAACATAATAATGTTATTATTTTTAATTATTTTTTAAGTCATTACAAACAGTTGTCGGCCATCACCAGTCACCTTCGTCATCATCAAACGATCATTTACTCGTCGTCGGACCTTTATTGTTGATCATCTCTCTTATTGTTGTCTCAATTCTTTTAAATTCATAAATTCAAACTTAAATCCCTAACCCTAATACCCAAATCCCTAACCTTAAATCTAAATTTATCATTATCACCTAAATTAACATTAGAGATTTGCAGAGACGATAGAAGATATTTTGAATACAATTTGAAAAGATTTTTTTTTTGTGTAGGCGAGAGTGTTCCTAAGCAAGGGAGGGAATTTTTTTCTTAATTTTTTTTTTTTGAAAACAATGGTTTATTTTTTATTTTAAAAAATATATATAAATACAACATGTGTTAAATAACGATCGAAATTAATAATCGTTACAATCTAGATACCTAAAAGTGTAACATCAAAAATATTAAATGTCAATTCTTAATAAAAAATTCTCCAAACACCTAAAATTAATTTAATTTATAATTTAAACATTTACTTTTATATTAAGTCAAAATATAAACATAACACATATCATCTAATAATTTTTTTAAAACTATCGTTTTATATAAAAACTTGAAAATATATCATAAAATTTTTTAGGGTACTAAAATTAACTTGGGTATAGATTACACACTTCAACGACAATGGCAAAGACGCCGATAGGGTTAGAACCGGTGGTGGGATCTTTAACATCATCAAAGAAGAGAGAATACAGAGTCACCAATCGACTCCAAGAGGGCAAACGTCCCTTGTACGCCGTCGTTTACAACTTCATCGACTCCCGTTACTTCAACGTCTTTGCTACCGTCGGAGGTAATCGGGTAAGTCTTTCCATTTGGGTAACCATTTGTCCTTTAAATTAACGTGTTTCCTTTTATTTTGTGTTTAACTTGTTCAAATCCAACGTTTTTCTTCAATTTGTTAAGCAAAAGATGCCTTTTTGGCTCAGTTTTTTTAGAACCTTTTGTTAATCGCTTTAATCTTTGAAGCTTTATATTAGCTAATAGCATATTTTTTCTTACGAAAACCATTTTGGACTAAATTTTGTGAATGAATTACCTTTTGGCATCTGGAGTCTTTCCCTTTCGGCATTTTATTTTCACTCATCTCTTGAAGTGATGTTAGTGAATGCTAATTTGCCCTTTTGTTTACAGGTGACAGTATACCAATGCCTTGAAGGCGGTGTTATCGCTGTTTTACAGTCTTATGTGGATGAAGATGTAAGAAATGGCACTTAGATTGTATTTATTTCTTCCTTTAAAGTTATCTTTTTGAATAACTGCTTCATTCTCCGTGCTTCGTAGATCAGAAGGATGAGTCTTTCTACACTGTAAGTTGGGCATGTAATGTTGATGGTACCCCATTTGTGGTTGCTGCAGGTATTAATGGCATAATCCGTGTGATTGATGCAAGTAATGAGAAAATACACAAGGTATTATCCTTTCATGATCATACTGTTATATTTATGTCCATTCAACATTGTGGAAAATTGGTATTGTTATATCTTACATAGTCATGTTTCATACCATTGCATGGTATGTGCAGAGTTTTGTTGGCCATGGCGACTCAATAAATGAAATCAGGACTCAGCCATTGAAACCATCACTTATAGTGTCTGCAAGTAAAGTAAGCATCAAAACATTTACTTGATAACTGTTTTCTTTATCAAATGGCTAATGTTTGAAACTGGATCAGGATGAATCTGTTAGATTGTGGAATGTCCATACCGGTATATGCATTCTGATATTTGCTGGAGCCGGCGGTCACCGCAATGAAGTTTTGAGTGTGGTAGGTGCTAAGAATATTGAGTTATCTTGTACTTGTCTTTCCCCTGGAGAATGGAAATATGCGTTAAATGTTTGTTATGTTTTCTGCTTTCTTATTTTCCACTTATCATATGCTGATGGGCTGATGGGTATGATTTCTATTGTAGGACTTCCATCCTTCAGACATTTATCGAATTGCAAGTTGTGGGATGGACAACACTGTTAAGATTTGGTCAATGAAAGGTATGATTGTAAAAGTCATCATTCTGGGATTTTGTTGTTCTCGGTCTTGGTGGCAACAAACAAAATTTTCTGATAAAGTTGGAGCATTGAAATGAAAACTAGGGATGTACAGGATTTTTATCGGTAAAAGACTGGTTATATGTTGTCTAGGACCTTGGTTTTTGGGGTTCTGGGTTAAGCCAAAATGGTTGGATTTGAGGTTAGATATTGTCTAGCACCAAAAGGAATAAAGTAACGTTATGATTGTTGGACAGGTGATTTCATGCGATAATTAGCATTGAGTAAACACCAAGTTAGGCATTCATTCCTTTCTTTCATGTTTTTAATCTTCAGAATTCTGGACTTATGTTGAGAAATCATTCACATGGACTGACCTTCCTTCAAAATTCCCAACAAAATACGTACAATTCCCTGTGAGTACCTGTTGTTTTTTCTTCTCTATGTAAATCATGACTGTTGTTGTAATATTTTAATGGTTACATCTATTATTTCCAGGTGTTCTTAGCTTCGATTCATTCGAACTATGTGGACTGTAATCGGTGGCTTGGTGATTTCATTCTGTCAAAGGTAAACTATTTTATATTATTATATCATCTTTCATGGAGAGTTCGAATTTGCATTAGTAAGCATTGCTACATCATTGATGAGTAACTTGAGCTACTTTTTGAAGTATGGTTGAACAACCTTTGCAGACATGACTTGCCTAAGTAGTATAAAGTGCAAGGCAGCTTTCACATGTCTTACTTTAAATACTTTTTGGCATTATATTTCCCTCCTTTTCTAAGTTCATGGTTGGGTACTTGAAATTAGGATCTAAGATGAAAATCACTTATTAGCATCTCATTTTAACCATTAGTTCATTTCTAATGGCATCTTATCATCTTTTAGAAATTAAGTTACATTGTTAGAGTTGCAATATTTATGTAACATTCTTTCTTAAGTTAGAACTCTTATGTTTACTGGTAGAAAGCTCGAGTTGAGGTTCTCTTGTGAAACTTTCTTAGGGCTTGTTATAGTAAATCTTCAATTATGCTGTTTTGTCATAAGCTGGAACTCCGGTGCGAGTGTCGGATATGGGTATATATCCAGCACGGGTGTGCTCAAATTTTTAGAAGTTTTTCCATGTTTTTGGAGGGTCCTTGAAGGGTCATATCCTCATATCTATGTCTTGTAATGTGTTGCATACGGGTACCTACAAGGAAAATGAAGAGTTAGAGTGTATAGGAATTTTATGTCACATGGGTTGATATAAGTTGCCGTGTGGTGTAATTGCAGAGTGTTGACAATGAAATTGTGCTATGGGAACCAAAGATGAAGGAGCAATCCGCCGGAGAGGTCTGAACTTCGAAATCCGTCAGTTCCTCTTTATATTTCTTGTTATATATATCTTTTGGGAAACTCTTGACTTCTGCAACAATGATGACCTTCATGATGTTTCTTGTTTAGGGTACTGCTGACATTCTTCAAAAGTACCCTGTTCCGGAGTGTGACATTTGGTTCATCAAATTTTCTTGTGACTTTCATTACAATTCCGCTGCTATAGGTAATATCGAAGGCCAGATGCCACCATTTTTTGTATGTAAATAATTTAGCAATAACCACATTGCCTGTTCAGTTACAACTATCCTTATTGCCCATTGGACTATTACTTGCTTATTACCTTTTGATCCCCCAAACAAATTGTGCATTTTGGTAAGCTTTCTATTGTTGTTAGAGCTTGTACTCATTTATAAGTATTTTTTCGGATGCGGGCAGGGAATAGAGAAGGCAAGATTTTCGTGTGGGAATTGCAAAGTAGCCCTCCCGTTCTCATTGCTAGGTTTGCTAGATTTGCTCTCATTAGCAATGAAAGGAAATTCTTCCTTTATGTATTTAATGATCATTTGTATTTTCTCTTTTCTGGTAGATTATCTCACACACAGTCAAAGTCTCCAATTAGACAGACTGCAACGTCCTTTGACGGAAGGTAACTACTGCTCGGGTTTTGGACGTTGCTTATGTCAATGAAGCATGATTTTCTTTTCTCCTTTTTATGCACGTAACAACATTGGTTTCGGTTTTGATTGTTGCAGCACTATTCTCTGTTGCTGTGAGGACGGGACAATATGGCGCTGGGATGCTGTCCCGACCAACTAATCATTCTCAGGAAGTCAGCCAGAAGAACTTTATCAAAACTTTTTTTCTCTATCATGCTGTTGTTAACCGAGTGTTAAATTATGCAGGAAACTAGCATAAAAAAACTAACATGTTAAACTGTTTGTCTTGTTATGTCTTTCCCACTTATAGGAAGTTTTCTAGCTTAAACAATATTTGAAGCAATGTTTGGTAACTGATGAAAGCTAGAGCTTCAGCAACACAGCCTTTAAAACCCTGTATTTTTACACCCATTTCCCCTAAGGTTCTTTCCTTCCTCGGTTCTTGTTTCCTCAGGTATTTCATAGATTTAGAAGCCATTACAATTTCCAGAACCGAAACCATTAGAATGAGTTCTTTGGTCCGTAATTCCTCATCACATTCGATATTCCAAATGAACTTGTTAAAAATTTACATGTTATTACCAGTATCAAATTATGAGTACAATGACAGACACCCAAGAAATCCAATCAGAGAACTTGAGTAAAATCAACAGGCCCATGTCAATGACTAAACGAATAAATTTGTTTGCATCAAAATGCAAAACCCGAACGGTACCGGTTGCCAACTTATGCAACTGGAGGTTGGAGTAAATGATCCTGTGAGGTATCCACCGCTGCAGGTGGCATGAACTGCTACATAGCGACTCCATGATAACCAAGGAAAGGAACCAACTTGTTCCCGGGAGCTTGACCTTGGGCAGCAGCAATTGCAGCAGGGATTGCTGGTGCGTGAGGTATGAAGCTACGTTTTGCATTCATGGTTTTAAGTTGCTGCTCCAGCTTTTCCTTATCGACTTTCAGCCTCTGCTTTTCATCACGAAGCTCGTGCTTCTCAGCCTGAAACAGCATAAATTCAGTTTAATATTTGACGTTTCTTTAATCATTTTCAAGATACTAGCAGATACTGAATAGAAAAATAGCATGCTAAAGAAATTGATACTATTTGAACCAAAGAAAGACCCTCAATGCAATGTCACCTTCAACTCTTATATCTTTCTAGCAGACTTGAATTTGACTCCTCCATTTTTTGGGCTTCATCTCGTAACTGGGTCACCATTCAGACAGCATCAACCAAAATAGCAGCCTTGTCTGTTTTGGGAGGCCTTCAAGGTTCCAATATAGCCCCCAGCTCCATAAACCTGTTGTATGGAAAATGTTGAATATTTTATGCAGATAAAATGTGAAAGCTAGGAAAAGTCCAGAGAAGGAAGATGCCAATACTTGTCATTCAGCCTATCCCTACGCAACTTCTCTCTACATGCTTTGGTGCTAGAAGGGTTGCATGATTCAGATCTACCCCTGCAATAGGCAATAGACAAGATTCCTCCAATATCAAACATCTATGGAGTCAGTTTTCTGCTAACATATTTATAACAATGCAAAAAGAAGATTCTGAAGTTCGTTCTACGTCTAAATCATCTCATTGATGCTGCTTAACGGACAATATTTCCTGCTTAATTGAGAAATTTTATGCTACTGGAGCAGGTTAAAAGCCAAAAAAACTAAAATGCTTTAGTCCTCAAAAGTAAAGGTATGATCCTACTTTTATGTACATTCAATATCTCATGGCCAGAAGTAAGCCTATAGGTTTGGAACATTTTAATGCAATTCCTCTCAATAAAGGTTTTTATAATATTTCCAAACACATATATGAGTAAATAAGAAGTGAAAACCGATTCATCATGAAAACATAATAGGCAATTTCTTTTTCATTTTTATTTTTCTCTACCAAATATTAAAAGACAGAACAGTACCTCTTCTTTGGACCAGATTCTTTAAGGCCATCTGAATCCCCAAAGGAGCAATCAATTTCCACACTAGGAAAAGACCATACCACAAAATAATGACAATATGAACAGGGGAATCATAAGTAACCACCCAAAAGAGAAGAAAAAACAAAGAGGATAATAATCTTGTTTGCCAATAATACAGAACTTAAACACAGTTGACAAGTTTTTTAAAAAAAAGTCAAAAATCTACACCTGAATGGAATAAATGTTTCAAAATGAAAATCTTCAACATTTGAACGTGTCATGGTTAAAGCACCAATGACTCAAGAAGCAAGCAATACAATCCCGTAGTCAGTAAAAACAACATGCCTAATCAAGTTGACATCAACAACTGTAATTGCATGGTAACACACTCCGAAGGGATGCCCTACAGCTACCTTAACAGCCCCAGTTTGTAACTCGTGTCTCCAAATTACAAATATTAGAAACACATGAAGCAGCTTAGCTCAACTCCCACTTACAATAACATTGCTTTGATTTCAAAGAACCCTCCAAGAAGCATGATCATAAAATCCAGTTCATATCAATTGTGTTTCCGGTTGAAGAGTTAAGACACAATATGCTCTGAAAACAAACATGTGGTAGACTGTATGATACACGAGAGATCATGTATGGCAATTAAATACATAAAACAAATCAACACTAACAAATGCCCAAAGCACGAGCAGAGAGTATCATCTTGACAGGTTATATGCCATACAAACAAACACTATAGTCTAACCAAGAGCACAACTTAAAAGTTAAAAGGTTGATTGAAATATAGTGTCCCCTCGTCTACTTCAGAGATTGAACACCCTTTTAGCTAAGTTGAACACAATCTAACATTTTTACACCAAGTTAATCTATTAACAATATCCATAAAGAAACAATCAAATTAGACAAAGTAAAACCCTTTATTCAAATTTATAATTTTAAGATACAAATCAACCATTTCACCTAACTTTCTAAAGAAGAACCTCAATCAGCTCCACATTTATATGCAAAAATAGCATAACATTTCCATGAAAAACCGTACGAAAACAAATTTATGACGAATTCCAAGAAAACCTAATCAGAATTAACAAAATTAGCCCCCAGATGATTCAGCAACTCCCGAAACACAAGCAATCAATCAAATAAACATTTTCAAAACCCTAATTGAAAATTAGAAAAAGAGAGATTTTTTGCGGGATACTTGACAGCAGTAGAAGGAGCGTTGATTGGCTGCGTGGACCAAGAAAAACCGGAATAAGATCCATCGGGGACAGGGATATCGTCGATCAAGGTTGCGTAGTCGAAGGGAGACCAATAATTGGAGTTTTCAGGGGATACCATTCTCCACTGACTTTGAATATTTGCCGGCAAGTTTTAAAGGGGTTTTGTTTGATTTTCCGACAAAAACACCCGGCTTTGTTTGGGGAGAGAAAATAACAGATGGTCTATTATTTAATTTTCTCGGGAAAAAATGGTTTGGAAGAGTTTGATATTTTGGGCCTTTTAGGCTTCAAAAAGGCCACTTAAATGAAGTTTGAATTTGAAGTTCTGGGAACCCAATCATTGAAACCCGATTCAGATCGATGTAGTTCACTGAACACAAGATGTCCCTACATTATTCCTCTCATTTTAAATCAGTTCTTAAATTTAAAAATATTTCATATCAGTCTTCAAATTATGATCCTATTCTAAATTGGTCACTAAACTTTAAAACATGCTCCTCGAACTATCATTAATATTCTATTTTGATCATCTCGTTAACGTACCATTAACTGTACTGATTTTTTAAGGTATTAAGAATTGAACATGTAATATTTTTAAAATCAATAGAATTAACAATATGTTAACGAAGAGATCAATAAAATTAATTGTACTAATTTTTTAAGGTCTTGAGAATTGAACTTATAATACTTTCTAAGGTCTTCAAGAAATATTGATAGTTTGAGGACTGTTGTAAAAGGATTTAAATTGTAGGGGTCAGGTCATAGTGTAGAGATTTATATAAAACATTTTAAATTTTAGTAATTAATTTATAATAGGATCATAATGTGGAGACATCCTTTGTAATTTATTCTTTATAAAATTTAAAACTATTTATGACAATTTAATTCAAATAATCTTAAATTTTAAATCGAGGAATCACATTTCATTTCAAGAGTAAGACTGCTATCTAAAATTTAATTTATATCAATTCAGTTTGAATAGATTTTTAATTTTTTAATCATTTATATAAATTAATTTAATTTAAATCATCTCATATTTTTTATCATGGTTGATTCAATTGGTAAATAACTTGATATTGTTTAAGCAATGTCTCGAGTTTGAACCATTGTTATTTTTGCTGAGAGACTCACCCATCAAAGTCAGGTGTGCGACGTGTGTCAGTCCAGATTAGTCAAAGTGAAGTTTTTGAAATCGGGAGGACAACAAAAATAAAATAAAATAAAATAAAAATCAATTTTTAAACTTATAAACTATAAAGTGTCTTATTTCGATTTCTTTTACTTTTTCGTTCAATTTGAAGGTAGACAATTAAAAAGAAAAGAAATGGGGATAAAATTACAAAACTATCCTCAAAATGGATATCCTTCTGGTGGTCTGTATAGTTTCCAATGCCTCAACGGATATAAACTGAAATACGAAGAAACGTTACTCTTATCTCTAACCTAAAACTGCAAGTCTGCAACTCTTCTTCAATCCACAATTTCATGAAAATGGCGCATTTAGCTAGCTTAAATGGAATCAGTGAGACCCTTCCAGCAAATAAAATTATAAAATGATAAATATAAATAAATTAACACGATAACATACCGTAAATGCTTAATGCAAAAATAAGTGTTCACATTATACTTTAGATGCCTAAAAAAATTTTCGTCCATAATAGGTGTTTGATGTTACTCTTTTAAGTGCTTACGTCGTAACGACCAAAGCTTCGCATTGTCCAAAGAACCCGAAAAACCACGAAAATCATCGGGTTTCTCAGCAAGAACACATCAAACTTCCATGAGCAACAACCACCACTGCAAACTTCAAGAAGAACGGCATTAGCCCTTGCCTCCATCGCTCTTATTGGAACTTCTAGCAACCGTATCTCCCTCGCTGAAGATAATGGTTATTGGATTGCGGATCTTTTACCTGTTCCTACGGTCGAAAACAGTGAGCTATGATATTTGGTCATTCAGTCTTGCTGGTGTTCATTGCTTCTAATACTCCATTCTGATATATATAGTTCTGTGATGTGAACTGAAATCTGATTCCATTTTCTTTCTTGAATGACAGAAGATATTACAAATCCGGAGACAGGAACTCGATCTTTCGTCAAGACAGGACTATATGTGGCTAATCTTAATACCAAGAACAGCATGAATAGGCTCAAGAAATATGCGTTTGATCTTCTTGCATTAGCGGATTTGATTGGACCAGATGCTAAGAATTGTAAATGTTTTCCCATTTTGTTGGCAGCTTGAAGATGCTGCTAAGATGCGTAATTTCCCCCAGACTGAATCGTGTTATCGAGACACAAAAGTTATTCTCCAAGAGGTCATGGACAGGATGGCCTAATTCTGCAGCATTTTTCTTGATAGGAATCAATTTCAATAGATTACAGTGTTATCCCAATCGTTTATTTTTGTTAAAATACTCGTGTTCGATACATATTCAACATATGTATGAGGTATACTTTAAGAAATCGAGAATTATCCATATTGACCCTCCAAGGACTTTCTAAATACATGGGAAAACTTGAACATATCTATTTCAGACACGTACATGTATCCAACACTCGTACTCGAGTCCGAGTAACTAAGGAAAAAAGAGATCCAGATCTGAATTGCAGATAATTAACCAGGCTTGTATCTGCTATGTGAAAGTAAATGTTTATGACTTTACACATATTCTTGCATGGTCTATCTCATGTTTTCATATCAGATAAACAGTTTTCATCGTTTCAAGATTATCATGGCCGTAGCATTATTTTTTTCAATTTGCTTCAGATTCATTCAGATTTTTTGCCAACTCCATCTGCAGAAGTATCAGTATGCAAGGGATTTCGGGGAATCCGGGTCTCGAGAGCAGTGTCGTTACTTAGGTATGCCTCTATTCTTCTTCAGTCTGCATCTTCTGGCAGTTCAAGCCTCCTTACATATCCATATTCCCACCAGTTGCCGCTTCTCCAATCCTTCTTCTGAGATTCCCTTTGCAGCAGCTTTAGTTGGCCAAAAATTTCAACTACTTGCCCCTTTTCGACCCGGATTTGTACATTATTTGTCTTCCCTATTCCTGGTTTAATCCATCAAAACATCATTTCATCAGTCTTGACAAAGATAAACAACCCCTGAACCTATGGAATCCCTTAATCCCTACTCTTTCAAAGGATCACCCGTGCCAAACTTCATCTTATTTTTCCGATTTTCAGAACCAAATATGTTTCAAACACAAGGTTCCTTGTTTTACAAGGCACTTAGGGTTCATACCTACCTTACGACCATTAATGATCATTCATCAGATCCCAACTCTTTGAAGGGACCGTCCACCACTAACTTCACCTTGTTTTTCCCGTTTCCGGAAACAAGGTTCCTTGTTTTACAAGGAACTTACTGCTTCCAACTTAGGGTTTATAGCTACCTTTATGAACAGTAACTTATATACGAAGTTTAGAATACTTGAAAGGGTATCTGAAAATAACACTTACCTGGTAGTTCTGCTTTAAGAACATAAGCCTGGTCAGTCTGAAACCAATCAACCGAACTCTTACCGGAGTTCCTTAGATTCGATAATAAGCTATCTGATTCGATGTCCCATGCACAGAGGAAAGATATCTGATGGATCAAAGAATTTCCCAAACAACAGTGGACTAAACAATGATCCTTCCCCGAACACCTTATGCACTGTTGGATTCCCCTGGGAGAGTAACCTCTTGAATTCGTCTTCGGCTAATGAAATACACCATTTGTGAGGAGTTTGATCTTCTGTTTGAACTTCAAGTTTAAGGCAGCTAGTCATTGAAAGGTTACAAAACCAACTGAAACGAACAAAAAATATTGTGATTTCAGAGTTTTCCAGAGAGAGAGTTTTGTGAGAATTTGGCATATTATAGTGTGAATGAGTCTCTTTTGATAAAGCAGTGCACGTATTCCCTGGGAATATTTTGAAGGGTGTAAAGTAAAAATATAGTAGAAAAGAATCATTCTTTTCTGGAAATTGATCACCGATGAGAAGAAACATGGACTCTTCATTTTTCGTGAAGTATCCATATTTGATACGACATTATGACAGTCCAAATATACAAAGAAAGAAAAAAAAACATTTAAAAAAATCGAGCATCGGCAACATTTGCTTTCAAGCCCGGATAACAGCCGGTAGACTAGGCATGAATTGATGCTTTTTCCTGGGGACTGAGAAAATTAATATAGACTTAACAAAATGACTTAACTTTTGCTGAGAATCTGAAATAAGTTGCTGGAAAGATTTGCAGAAGTATGCTCTTTACTAAATTTTCAACTATCATTGCATAACCTTCTATATTATTCTAATGTATTCAGAAGATTATATGGATCCTTACTTATGTGTGAAAAGAATAATACTTAATCCAAATTCGAGTATAAATATATGTCGAATACGTAAAAAAAATGAACATTGAGGATCGATTTAATGGATACCAACTGTCTAGTTCCATTTCCATTTGCTATATTGTAATGAAAATAAAAGATATATATATTTGGATGGCACATATGCATCTGGTTTTTGGCATCCTTTAAGACCCACTTTTCCTAAGAAAGAAGGATTGGTATCTCCCTTTTCCTTCATAGATGCTTGAATTTGTAGCAGCAGCCACTTTGCATATTGGAATATAAGCCACATAATAGTGCCTTTCCTCGAGATAAATCCGATTTTTTGTTCATTGCCCTTAACTTGCAGTTCCTTCAATGAATATATAAAGATTATTTGATCTCTTGGTTTGCATGATGAAGCTATTAGGTAAACATTAAAGTTCATGATAATATCTTACATTTCTAATTCAGTGATCGAATTAAAACTTTTTTCCATTCCAATCCCTTTCCATCCTTCCGTCCAACCGAGCAGAGTATTAAGTAATCCGACGCAGGGCGGAGTGATTAATATCGTGTCAAAGCGGAAAGAAAAGGGTATTATTATTCACTCAATCAAGAATCATATACCAAAAATCTCTTCCCTCCAAGGTTCAAGTGAATTCTAATTTCAACACTACCCTGTTAAATATTCTTTCAAAGTCTATACATGCACAAGTTGGCAGATGAATGTAAACCCACACGAACCATAAATCTTGTACCAGAGGAGGTCAACAGCACTTTGCAATGTTAGTTCTAAAAATATCTAGCATTGAAGCAGCGATGCCATTAGCTTATCCCCTTTCGGTTGGTATTCCGAATGTATTAATGACTGCATCACCAATGGTTTGGCACTCTCCCGTCTTGATCAACTGCCAATGCTTCTTACTGGCAACATTATTTATGCCATATGTTGTCTCAGTATTAAGTTTCAGTTTATAATGTGGCAAAGTAGAAGATTTGCTTGATAAGGGTAAGAATATAATACCTTTTCCAAATGAACAAATACTAACTCATCTCGTCTGAACTAGAATCGGAACTAGAATTATCCACCCTTTGCTGAGAAATTGCATTAGCAATCTTCTGACGAGGATCAGGAGAATATGGTGCAGCACGAGGAACAGGAGGAGGTAGTTGTGCAGCACGAGGATCAGGAGGAGGCGGTGGTCCAGCATGAAGATCAGGAGGCGTTGGTGGAGCATGAGGATCAGGAGGGGGCGGTGGTGCAGCATGAGGATCAGGAAGAGGCGGTGGTGCATCATGGGGATCAGGAGGGGGCGGTGCAGCATGGTGATCAGGAGAAGGTGGTGCAGCATGAGGATCGGGAGAAGGTGGTGCAGCACGAGACTCGGAGGTAGATGATACATTGGACCCCTGCTTTTTAGGTGGTGGCTTAATAGGGTTCTTTTTAACCTCTCTGCACACCTTATCCAAAATAATCAAAAAGTCTCGAACAACGGAAAACAATCGTAAGCCCTCATCCTTTTTGACATTGCCATGGAAGTAATCGCCAGTGCTCTTCACTAAATCCATTATTTTCTTCTCCTCCTCAAGCAACGACATGACATCAGCCTCAGCATTCTGCACAAAAGTCTTTAGGGTGTCGTGAAAACCACTTTTTTCATCAACATCCTTCATCTCCGTGTTCAAGAAATTACGTGTTTTTACCATTGCTTGGCCAATTTTGGAAACAGATGTTGTTAAGTTTTCAGCATCAAGAGCAGCAGCTTTCTTGACATATTCAAGTTCACTACTTAGATTTGAAACCTTCTGGAGACCAAGGTTGCGGTAGTGCTCTTCTTCATCAGGAGAAATATCCTCAAGAAGATCTTCTGATTGTATGCTACTAAAACTTCTGCTGTCTCTTGCAACACGGGCAGCTCTCAAACCTTCAGTGCGTATTATTTCTTGGACAACAAAGTGCAATAGTGTTGTCTTCCCATCTACTCCTTTAACATCTGCTAACTTCAAAAGTGTGTCAAGTTTGAAAGCCATTGCACCACCACGGAATGTCCCATCATTCATGCGATTTCCAGTTTTAAGGACAGCTTCTAAGAGTTTGAGGAAAAGGCGGCTACTTTTAAGTTCCTTGCAAGCAGACTGAAAAAAATAGGAAAGACACTAAATATCATTCAGTAGAAGATCATAGAAGAGATTGTGTTTTTCCCTGAAAATACACATCCTTGAATTGACCTTTAGTTTACTATCTAAAATATGTTTTCAAAGCATGGCATACCTTGTATGAATTATCGAACCATAGTTATCATGCAAGCCATACAGTTTAAAATAAAATGACCCACCTCTAATGTTTGAAAGGATTCTCTAATTGCAGTAAGATCGTCATGAAGAGAGCACATAAATAGCAGTGTTTCCATCCTTTTATATGCATGAGGAATGTTGACCAAGATTTTCAGGAACCGCTCAGCAGGGCCGAGTTGAGTAAGTTCACCAGTGAACAGTCTAAGTTTGAGTTCTTCCTCTTCTGTCGGTGCCATCTTCAGTAAAGTTTGGAGGAGTTCAGACGGGAGCTCATTTGCTGATTTCAGAAGAACTGATTAGAATATCGAGATTGAAAACTGAATACATTATTAATACTTTTCTGTATACCAAATGAAATTGCAAGATAGTGTAACAGCATAATGTCAATCAAACACATGATTGATCAAGAACATAAAGTTTCTTGTAGCTCTCAGTTACTATTTCATCACATGATATTGAAGAAAATACTTTTGTAGTTATGTCTTCCAAACCTCCAAACCTGTACATATATTTCTCAGAAGCACATATTTTGAAAGAATAAATAAGGTGGAGGAAAGCACCTTCAACAAGTGCATCAGAAACTTCTTCTGAGGTCACATTCAATGCCTTCAAAAGGATTGATAAATTTTGTGCTTTCTTGGGATCTAGGAGTTGAATAAACTGAGGTTCCTTCTTAGTGGACTCTTTTTTTTCACTTTTGCTCTTCTCAACGGGTGAATACCCAAACAGTGTTTCTATCTTCTCCTCATTGATCCTGCAAAGTTAGTACCAGGTATCACATACTGATCCATTGGACTCAAGAATAAAAGGAAACGAGAAAAGAATAGTTACATACTGGAATGATCCCGCTTTAATCTGACCCCACACCTGTCCTTGCTGAGGGGCGTTTGCAACTTTATCCCAAAAAAATGGCTTCAGTTTGGCTTTAGCCTCGCCTGAACCAGGTCCCCCACGACCCAAGGCATTTGGTGGTCGAGGCGTCTTTGAACCTAAGGCTGGAGGTGGTCTTGGACCACCAACAACTTTCGGAGGAGGTGGCGTAGGAGCACCACCTTTTGAAGGAGGTGGCGGAGGAGCACCAGCTTTGGGGGGAGGTGGTGGAGGAGCACCACCTTTAGGAGGAGGAGGTGGTGGAGGAGCTGGTTCAGCACCTGGAGGTGCAGGAGGTCGAGGGCCTACAGAGGGAGGTGGTGGTGGTGGAGGAGCATTAGGCGGGGCAGGAGGTTGAGGAGCATCTTTGCCAGGAGGAGGCTTCAAAGGAGGTAAACCACCTGGACTGGCCCTTCCCGGAGGCAACGGTATCTCCAAACCGGCATTGCCTTGTGCCTCGGAAGATTCAGCTGAGGCATTGGCGGCATTTCCATCTGACGACTCTCCATCTAAGGAGATTTGTAGTGCATCGGAGTCAATGCCATTAGTTGAAGCAATTTTTTCTAGGCTTGGTTCTTCACTAGATCCAGCAGCATCAAGAGAACCTGGAAAAAGGAATGTCTCGATAAAAAAAATTAACAAAAGCTTCAAGAGGGTAACAGCATGTTGGAAAGGGAAAGTCTATACCACCTGGGGCATCAGTTCTTAAACTAAGGGCATTCTCATCATCTAATGAAGATCCAGAATCTTTATTACAGAAGAACATAAGTACCACAAATGCAATAAGAGACGATACTACTGCAGTCGAGACGCAAGCAATAATAACTATATTGGCATCATTCCCCTCCTCTTCTGAACCTTCCTCTACTAACTCTCCCTCTTCTTCAAGTTCAGCTTGTTTCTTATGTATAGTTAATTTAGAAGTCGATAATGCGACACTTAGAGATAGATCTTTACTAAGAGAAGAGGCTGGATCTGAGGATCGGGGTGAGGGTGGACCCAAATTCGAGGCAGAGTCTACTGCAAAGCTCTGAGCAGCTAAACTCCTTCTAGAAATCTCGCACCAGCGAATCAACGACTCGGAATAATGGGGGTAACAAGTCTTAAAGCCACCATCTTTTCCAGATTCTTGGATTAGAAGTTTATTCTTTCTCATGCAGTCAGAGAGAGCTTGCTTTAACTTGGGACGGAGAACATTGATCAATTTTTTAAAGCTTTCTTTTGATAATGAGTGACTTTTTTTATCGATATCATCGGCTGTGCTTTGTGTTTCCTCCAAAAGATGTAACTTGGGATCTTCAAAAGCTTCCTTCAAAGTATTCAAATCTTGTCTGCAACTCATCCGTAACAGCTCAGCCTGTATATGTAAACAACTTAATAAATTCAAACAATGTTGGAACGAAAGGAAACAGAACTTGGTTGTTGTTTCCTGAACATACAGAAACTACAAGCATCTTAATGACCTAACCTATTCACGGTGTTAAATTATAAGCTTTATCCATGTGAATGATGATTTGCATTTACCTAACATACATTTCCTCTATTCAATGCCACTGCCATCAGAAAATGGTACTAGCAAGCCTTAATAACATTATGGAACATGTTTGAATGAACATGCTGTCAACCATTTCAACACCAACAATTAAAGGTTTCAGTGAACATGAAATACTTTTAAATAAAGAAATCCATAATTGATTCTTATCCATAAACAAAACATTATTGGGGAAAAAAAAACAATTGCATTCAATGGACATCAAAGTAAACAGAACCAATCACATAACCAAACTGTTTATGTGCAATGAGTTTATAGGATACAAGTTGATTGAAGATATGAGCAAGCAAGTGGAGCAATCTCCTTTACCAGATTATCATCAATCTGCCCGGTTGCTGGATCTAATAATTCGTTAAGACATTCTTCTTCTTCATCCTTAGGGTCATCTAAGCTGACAGCAAATGATACAAAAAGCAGAACTACTAAAAACCCCAAACATTTTGTTCTAATGATACCCATTTGTCCTTGTATCATCAGCATCATCACAGACACAATAAGGGTTGCTTCTCATTTCATCAATAAATAGAACCCCCGCCACCAACACAACTCAAAACCCTAAAAATTTATATCGTCAAAAGTTCAATTCCTCGTAATGTTTCGCACCAACAATTCAATTTTCCCTCTAAGCAAACCTTAAAATCTGCATTAAAAATAAGCAGGTTTTCCTCCGAAACTTGGAATCAGAAACCCAAAAACCAAGCAGAAACCAGAATTTATCTTCCCTCGGAGAGCCAAGAGGGAATAGGATCAAGATCATATTTTGATTAGACAAAACAGAAATAAGCTCAAATGAAAAAAAAAACAAAACAGAAAACCAATAAATTTCAGAATATTTTCTTTTTGATTTTACCGATCATTTGTACTGGTAATTCAAAGATCTTAAAACTTGAACAAGGAAATCCAGATATGATCCTATCATTATGACCGGATCCCATCAATGACAACTCGTTGAAGAGAAAAAAAACCATATATACATCAGCAGTTACAATGCATGAAAAAAAAAGTTGATCAGGATAATCTTGCCTTAATTCTGATCAATACAATGTTCCAAAGGTAAATGTTTCCTTCTATTAATTTTATTTTTAGTGCGTCCTTGGTTTGGGGATTTTATTTCTCTTTATTTTCGTGCGTTTGAAATGAACAATGAGTGTATAAAAGGGACAAAAATGCATTTTGAAGAAGACATTTTGGGATTATAAAGTGGGGTAATTAAGAATTTCATTATGACAGGCTAATTACGCATGGATTAACTTTCAAAAAAAAATATGCATGGATTAGGAGGAATAATAAATATATAGTAGTTAAAGTAGTTATTTTGAAGGGATATTATACAAAAACAAGGTTACAAATTCTAACCAAATATGAGATATTATACATTATTCAAAAAATGTCTTTATACTTATTATCCATTTTGTAAAAATATTTCAGTGGGATCATTAGATATTAAATATTCTATTTTCATTAATGAAAACTATATAAATGTGAATTATGACAACGTGATTTCCATATCAAATATACAAATATATATTTTTTAATACTTAATGGGTCATTATACAAATATATCTTAAAAATACAATAAACAAGGTTTTAATTTTATTAACAAATGTAGTACTACAATTATCATAACCATTGCATTAAATACAATGTTGTTGAGCAAAAACCTTCATTAATATCTCATAACAAGCATCAATTAATGCAAATCTCAACCAAAGACAAATCATCATTCATCAAGATGAAGAAGAAAGTCTTGTAACTAAGCAAGTAGGAAACGATTAGATTATATTCACATTACACTAAAACCCTATCTAAAACACACTGAACAAACTACAATTCCACAAAAGCTCTTTCTTCTTCCTCCTCTTCAAGAAACTATTGACAACAATCAAAGCTAAAATTCAATAACTGTTCCATTAAGGAATCACATCAAACCGTGGCGAAAGAGGATACAGGTTTCAGAATCTAAAGTAATCGATCTGGGTTTAGTCGTCGTCACCGCCGGCTGCCTTGGAGGAGCTTCCAGCTTTCTTGGGGAGCAGGAGATTGTGTATGTTGGGCATCACACCTCCATTGGCAATCGTTACGTCTCCGAGTAGTTTGCTCAACTCCTCATCGTTCCTAACAGCGAGCTGTATATGGCGAGGCACGATTCGGGTTTTCTTGTTGTCCCTGGCTGCATTTCCAGCAAGCTCGAGAACCTAAAATAACCATACATTTTAAACCAGGATTCAATAAAAAATAATGGAGTAGTTTTATGTATGAACAAACCATAATTTCTTCCATTTTTGGGAGGGAGGGGGTAAAATAGAAACATAATTCCACAGAAATAAATAAATTTGAGAAATAGTAGCAAACTATTTACGGAGATAAACCCTATTTTATTAGGGCAAGGAAATGGAAAGATATCAAAATTTAAAGATAAAAAGAACAGATCCGGAAATGAAAACCCTATTTTATGAAAGCTTATCATAACAAAAAAAAATAATTAAAATATATATTTTCTCAGAAATTAAAGGGAAATCCAGATTAGGTTAAAAACCAAATAAACAATATATATATATATATATATATATATATTTAAAACAAATGATACCCAAATTTGAAAAGAAAATAACTGTACCTCAGCCGCAAGGTATTCAAGAACAGCGGCGAGATAAACCGGAGCTCCAGCTCCGACACGTTCAGCATATTTCCCAGCCTTAAGGAACCGAGCGATACGACCCACCGGGAACTGAAGGCCGGCCTTGCTACTCCTTGATGTCGCCTTCTTTGACGCCCCTGATCCGAGAGTCTTACCTCGACCAGCCATTTTAGACCCGCACCAAAAACAACTAACTTCTCAAAAAATATATTTCAATTTCAAGATGGAAAAGCAAAATGCTAGTAAGGAGAATGAAAGATCTAAGTGACCGAATGTATGGTTAGGTTTATATATAGTGGAGAGCGTAAATGTACTAACCAAAACTAGCCAATGGGAAGAGAAGACGCGAATCGGGAATGATAGACCGTTGGATGGTGAAAAAAGGAACGGGTCCGATTTGAACCGAACATCGGTTTGGCATTTTTTAGCTTTCGATGATTTTAGCTAGTTAAAATTTGAGGGAAAATTTTTCTTTTTCAATTGGACTTGGGATTTTATTGGAATGAAGTAAATGTCCTTGAGAAACTTTTTATTATTATTAATTCTTCGGATAATTTTAATATGAAAACCCTAAACTAATGTCCAAATTCAAAATTGGTACCTATATTTCGAAAATAAATTAATTAAATCCTTAAATTATCATATGATATCAATTAAATTCTTTTGTTAACTTAATTGTTAGGGTTGGTGTCAAAGCATGCTTGAACCTGTGGTGATGTTTATCTAAAACGCGTGGACCAAAATTTAGACGTGTATATGTTTGTTTGGTGGATACTTCAAAATAGAGGATGAATGACATAATACATATGGATTTCATATGAAAGTAACTGTCTCGTTGATGATTTAACTGAACACTCCGATCAATTGCTATTAACAATAAAGATATTTATAGAACCTCATTCTGCAATTCAAGAACTGATCAATAAGAATATTTTTGGTCACAATACTTGTACGACTATGTAAATCTAACCCATTTCTCTTATGATTAAAAAATTGTTCTACTAAATTTTAATGATTGTTTTTTAACAAATTAAATACAATTTATCCATGTCATAATTGTATATTTGATTAAAATTCATTTAATGTATTACAAATACGATCCGTGTCAAATCTAACATGATATTTAATGCATAATATCGTCATTAGATTGATAAAATAATCTAATTGACATAATACTAATAGTTTAATGTTTAATTAAAATATTTTAAAGTTTGAGGATCAATTTAAAAGTTAAGTTAGAGTTTAGAGACATTTAGTGTAATTCACCCGATATTTTAAAATAAAAATTTATTTAAAGGTGAAACATGTTCGATTCTATTCTTATTTTTATCACATTAATGTTGAAGTTTAATTTTTAATATTTTGATAAAATAATTTCATTTTATATTATTTGATAAAGTTTTAAAAAATAATAAATATTTTTCAAATAATTAAATTTTCAAGTAAATGAAAACAATTAATAACTTATACCATAGTAATTTTATTTTTATAATTTAAGATATAAAATACCTTTTATATTATAAAAATTAAAAAATAATTATATATTACATAAAAATAAAATTCAATTATAGTAACTACAATTTTTAAATTTGTGACCCATTAATCTTCAAATTAATTTTAAATTTTTAAATTTGTTTATTCATTCTTAAAATTATTTGCTGATAAATAATTAAACGATTATTGACATTCTAATTTGAGAGTGACACCAATCAAACAATCTCAATAATTAAAAGATTTATTGTTATTCTTTGAGCTCTCATGTTTAAGCACTTCGTATGCAGAGATGTAATTCTTTGAACAGATACTACATTATATTCATCTCCAATTTATAAAAAAAAGTTTGGTTTAAATTATTATAATTATTGCTGTTTTGGAAATTATAGAAAATTAAAAAACTACAAAGAAAACATTCCAAAAAAGACATGATCTATCTTCTCAATTCATTTTCACTTCTGAAGTATTAATATACGAAATGAAATCATAAAAAGAAAAGCCTATATTACACCAAATTACAATGTTTTTTTCACCCTAAACACCCTCAAAACTCAATAGAGAACTCAAATTAGCTCCTTTACATCCGGACTACATGTCACAAAAACAAAGATCAAACCATTAGAAAATTTTAACACATCAACAAATGGAGTCAGCCGCGCTGTCCATGGACTCGTCTCTCCGGTGCACGGTTATCAGAATCTTGGTTTCTCCTTGCTCTAAGTCAACCGAAACCTCGTTTGTGACAGCACCAGATAGAGACTTCTGATGCTTCTTGATGTGTCTAGTTTTAAGGATTCGTATTAGCACTTGCACAATGTCCCTCATCGAATGCCGTTTTTTGGGAACGCGGTTGACACATTTATATGCAAGGGTGGCTACTTCATTAAGCTCATGCACGTCAAATTTCTCGTCCTATCTTGAATCCGCGATTTCCTCCCAACCGACTTTCTCTTCGGTACTCATAGCTGCCTGCTTGTCATATTCAGAACATGAATGATTTAAGTTATCGGAGATGAAGTTAAAAGAGAGAATCTTACTTCCATGAGACCTTGTAAAGGATTTCTGCCAGCTATGAGTTCAAAGAGCAGTACCCCAAAGCTGTAAACATCACTTTTCTTTGTAAAGGTTCGCGTTAATATATATACTCCGGATCGAGATATCCGAAAGTTCCTCATATGTTAGCTGCATGTTTGTCTACCATCTCTTCTCTTGAAAGTCCAAAATCTGCTACCTGCATGAACTTCCATTCCAATAAGGATAACATCAAAAGGTTTACTAATGCATAAGCAAATAGATTTTTCGACGGAATTCAGTGCAATATATTATATACCAATCACGAAGAACATACCCTAGCTCTCATGGAATGGTCCAGCAGAATATTGGATGATTTGATGTCCCAGTGTATTACAGGAGGAACTACCTGAAAAGGGAAATATGAAAAGAAAAAAAAAACAATAAATGTGTACTGATGTTGAAAAGCATAAAATGCATACACATGAATCTGCAATACATGCCTGCAAACACAGACAGGTCCATGTATAGTCCGAACAAGAAGAAATTTTACCCCCTCATGAAGATATTCCAAGCCCCTTGCCACATCTAAAGCTATATAAACCCTCAAATTCCAGCTCAGAGGTTCATGTTTTTCACCTGCACAAAGATGAAAATGCTGTTTCGAATTGTGTATATGCTTGAATTTTCAAAAAACATGCATACTTGTTTTGATCATATCACTCATTTGCATAACCTAATCATGAAAAATATTCATGGTTCATGATGAACTCGAGATGAAAAGATGCGCTTTTGTGTGGATAAAGGAGGCAGAACAGCAGAAAATACAAGTGAGAGAAAATATTGAATGGCAATGATTCCAGAAAAGCTTTGCTTTACAAAAGAAAAAAAAAATGTTAACAGAGAGATGAGGAAGATCAGCTGATATACAAGTCTATAATACAATATTTCAGTTTCGATCATTCATAAAAATATACCGATCTTATAGAGAAAATCGAGACAACTTACTGTAGAAGCCAAGCTGCCTTTACTCATATATACATAGACAAGAATATGCTTACCCTTTTCCGCTCAATATCCAACCAAATTTACAAGGTTTCTATGGTGCAACCTTCCCAACAACATAACCTGAAGCATTAAGAGGGTGAAAGTTGAAACATTAAACAAGTTTACGACGGCCAATAAAAGAACAAAAAAAGGGGAAACAAAACGCGCATATACACAGAGAAATGCAGGCAATAAAGGATTGTGCAGGACTTTAATTGACTAATCAAGTTTTCCCCATATTTCAATATGATGTTCCATGCATTCACTGGTTTGTTTACCTTATTCTGCAAAAAGAAAAACCTTGTAGCTATTTATCTTTCACTTCTCTACTTCTACTTTCAGGTTTTCGCTTATAGAAGAAATAGATGCTAGTGCTAAGATTCCTCCCATATGCCAAGTCGTGTTTCTTTCTTAAGACAAGAAAGCATGCCGGGAAATGGTATTGCACAAAGGCTTATGCAAATTTTAATACAGGATGGATAGATCTTGACTTTGAAATATGCCAACGAGAGTGAATTAACTATTAAAGATCCCTACCTCCGTCTGGATCTCTTTCTCTCCTTGCTTAGAGTCACTTGCAAGCACCTTTACAGCAACTGTCTCACCCGTTGACACCTGAGCTTTATAAACCGGACCAAAGGCTCTTACATAACCATTTTTAGGTGAAACCATTTATTTATAGTTTTAAAAAACGGTTACGATTTTAATTTGGAAAATATGATGATTTTGAATTGATTGAAATAAAATAAAAAAGGGAGCCGCCATCGACATTTGGGTTAGGTAGGTAGAATACCTAAAAACGTCTTTTAAAACAATTTTAAGAAAAATCATTTTTAAGACAAAATTCGATATGCGTTACCAAAGATTCATTTAAATGGATTCGGGAGTCGATAATTTGGGGGGAAGGGTAAGCACCCCCACAACGCCTAAAATTGGTACTGTGTCGTTTACGCATTGTCGTAAATGGTGGAAATTACAAATCGAATATAAAGTTAAAATATGATCTATTTATCGAACATTGATTAATTTGCTTCGAATTAAATAATTAGAGAAAATTCTTTAACTCGAAAAGAAATCTCAAAATTAGTAATCCACCGTCGGGAAAGCTAACTCGAATATTTCTTATCAGTTAAAGAATATTCCCTCCTCATTAATATTAAAAAAGTGAATCGAATATAAAATGAAAATCGACATTTGCGTGAAATTAAATTGTTATTTAGTAACATGCATCACATTATTCAGCTTAAAATAAAAGAATTAATTAGCAAAATAAAAATCAATTTTATTTCAAGTTCACATTTGTTCGAATGTCGTATCAGATTACACCACTTCGATCAAACGATATTTTCCATGCCCATTTTTACAAATCGTTAGTCTTGGAAATATTCGAGTGAATTTAAAATATTTTTGAAGAAAAATAAGTATTTTATAAATCAATAAATAATTAATTAAAAAATAAATATAAATACCAATGCCAAAAGGAATCACACGTGTAGTAAATTACATACATGGTAGTAACAAGGACCAAAATAAATAAAATAACCATTACATGCCCAAATCACAAGAAAATAAATTTCATAAGTGGCTACAATAAAATAAAGTAAAGTTCATTAGCTATATTCAAATAAATGGCGTATCAGAATGTGACTAAAATGAAATAAAAAACAAATAAAGTATGACTAAAATAGTGACCAAAATATAAATAATAAAAACCAGCAGAACCATAACAACATGATAAGTGACCGAAATAAAATAAAACAAAACATGTAGCATAAATCGAAACTAATAGATAAAAGATGGAATTAGTGACCAAAATATAAATATGCGGCTAACTATGAGGGACTGAAACGATATTCACCCTATTGTAAACCTGAACATTTTCTAAACAAAGTAATAAGGGAAAATAGCACATTAGATCCAGAAACTCGAACAAAAAATCAAAACAGTTCAAACAATTGGTACAAATAAACTGAAAATGAAAACAAAGCTAAAATACCTTAGTATTTTCGGTTCTGCTTTTGATTACTGAAAACAAATTCTTTTTACATCGTTTTTTTTCAATCCCCGCCCCTCTGACATTTCCCCCCCCCCCCTTTTTACAATGCTTTCTCGGGTTATATACCCTTACAATAGGAAAAAACAAACAATGGTGGAGCAGCACGGGGAGCTGCACGGCATGGGTATTGTGCAGGCATGGGCAGGCATTTGGTGGGGAGCTATAGTCATTTTAGTTGTTTCTTAGGTGTTTTCCCTAAACAGCGTGGGATTATCTCTTTATGTAAATTTGGTGATGGGGAATATGTTAATTCCTTCGTTTTCCATTTTATATGATTCGACAGAGTTTCAATGTTGTTGATCAAGCTACCTACCAAGAAATCATAGATCGATTTTATAGTTGGATTCCTGAGTGACCTTTTTAAATATATAATTATGTAGATGCTTTTCTATATGCATGTCCCGTATGAAATTTGCCCGTACTTGAAGTTGGGGTACATGGCAGCCAATGGGGCCATCGCTGAAGCACGTAGAACCGAAGATCGCATTCACATTATTGATTTCCAGATTACTCAGGGAACTCAATGGGTGACCCTCTTGCAAGCACTTGCAGCCAGATTGGGTGGAGCTCCTCATGTCCGTATTACAGGAATTGATGATCCTGCTTCAAAATATGATCGTGGTGGTGGATTGGAAGGCGTTTGTCAGCACTATCTGAATAGTTCAATATACCATTTGAGTTTCACGAAGTGCCAGCTTTTGCCCCTGATATCACAAGGGACATGCTTAATGTCAGGTCCGTGGAGGCACTGGCTGTCAACTTCCCTCTGCAGCTGCATCAAACTCCTGATGAGAGCGTTGATGTAAACAACCCTAGGGATGGGCTTCTCCGATTGGTGAAGCCACTTTCTCCCAAGGTTACCACATTGGTAGAGCAAGAATCAAACACAAACACAGCCCCTTTCCTCCCAAGGTTTAGCAATGTTCAAGTCCATCGACGAGACACTTCCAAGGGACAAGAAAGAGAGAATCAACGTGGAGCAGCACTGCCTGGCCCGGGATATCGTGAACATCATTGCTTGTGAGGGAAAGGAGAGAGTGGAACGCCACGAGCTCTTTGGGAAATGGAAATCTAGGCTAACAATGGCTGGATTCCGACAATACCCTTTAAGCTCTTATGTCAATTCAGTGATAGGTAGCCTTCTGAAGCGCTGCTCTATACATTATACACTGGTGGAGAAGGATGGTGCTATGTTGTTGGGATGGAAGAATCGAAACCTTATATCGGCTTCGGCTTGGCACTGCTGAAACCGAGATACATACAAAGGTAATGCAGAAATAATCAGTTCATTTTTTCACAGTAGGTTAGGGATACAGATCACTTTGTTCTTTGGTATAGTAATGGATAAAGATATTGTACGTGGACTGATGTTGCACAACAATCTTATAATACGAAAGGAGGCATTTTCCGATAAATTTTCATAATTTTCTCGTAGTTTCATGTTAATGGTGTATGTTAACATCAGGCATAGTTGAGGCAAATCAACTTCTTCTCTTTTTGATGAAGGGTTAAACTTGATACTCTTGCTTGTCTATCATTTTTTTCTTCTTTTTTTATTGATTAGTTGTTTAAAAGCTGTCTTAATATTTTCATAATTAAATTTATGTATCGAATAATTGTTAATTTTGTATATAATTAAAATGTAAGTTTATGTTTACTAATATTGGTTAAGAAAAATTTGGCTGCGGAATCAATGATTCAATGCCTTGCAGATTCTGGCGTCTCATTTAATAGAATATATTCTGTTCTTCCAATAAGCTTTGGAAATTAAGGAATTGTGTCAAGTACTTTATTCAAGCAGTCCAAAGAATAAGGCGAAAAGCCGAAGACAAATTCAGGAGAATGCACGTGGTTAGGCTATTAATAAAATGGGTCTATTTATTAAAGAGCCCATAAATTATTTCAAATTATTTTTATTTGATTTTTTTATTTACTGATGTTTATGAACTAAATTGTATAAAATTAACAAAGAATTTTATTGCAACACAAAGAGCAAAGTACAAATAGTATTGGCTTCTTCATTCTTTTATATAAAAGAAAAAATCAGGAAAAAAAAAGTGACGAACTCATACTTTTCCTTTCAATTACGAACAAATTTCATTAATTTTATTTCTTAGAAAATTAGAGACGCCGACTTTCCCATATTCAAAGCGCGATTGGGTCGATAAGCAAAGAAGTGATCCCGCCTTTAGCAGCTTTCCCGACGTGCGTGTAACCATCGCCTTCTCTGTAAAGCACATCCATAACCCTGGCAAGGTTGAGGCTCCGGCAAAGGACCGGTGTCGGCATTTCTGTTGGTTTCAACAACTCTTCGTTGACGTCTTTCCATGAACTCTCTATGTGTTTGTTGAATTCATCGTATGCTTCTTGCGCTGTCACTCCGTATTGTTCCATGTAACACTCGATGGCTGAACAATCATCTTCTCTCCTATGCTTGAACTGCACCCATACATATGAAACATTACGATTGATTTAGCAGATGCAGACCCCAAATGTCACTGTTTTGGATTTTTGGAATATGAAGCATACCTTGTGTTCAGCTATGTCGTCCATGAACCTGCAAATGATGGTGGAAGCTTTGATGATCTTAGGGTCATTGGCGGCCCATTCGAAGGTCTTGCGGGTTATGACATCTCCCATGCCGACAAACGCCGTGATAGCAAGCATGGCATAGCCGGATGTCGGCAATGCATTATCCCTAAACTCCTCGAACGTTGGTTTGTAGTTCTGGTGTGTCCATTTGGCCTCTAGAAGGTAAGCTTGAGCAAGGCGTATCATCTGAGGAATCAAGATTCGGTAAATTAGTATTCAACATTTCAGATTTTATATGGTCACGATTAATGCAAATCTGATCATCTACATACTGCTTTTCTGGCATACTCGACGCGGTATTGTCTCCCTTGATCCGTCAATAGTTGTTGCATTTCTTCATAAACATCTAGCAGTGCCTCAAAACTTATTTTCATGTAATCTGGGAGTTGATCCATGCATTTAAGATCCCACCTGGAACACACAATTTCATCGTTAATTTCAAATCCAAGGCTTTAGTTGGGATTCGAATTTGGCAAAATGAATGTTAATTTATAGTGCAAGAAATCTAACCTTTCAATGGCATCTGTATAGGGAATGAGTTCATCATATGTAGCAAATGAATCGTATGTATCATCAACAATAGAAGCCATGGCAATGACTTTCGTCAAAAACTTTCTCCCAAGAGAGTACTGAGGTTCGAAGTAGACTCCCATAATCCAAAAGTAACCTTCAACCACTCTGTCTCTTGCAAATGGAAGTTTTCTCGTAAAGTCTAAATCTTTCCACCACCTAAAAACAATCATTAAAAATAGAGCTTAATTCGTTCGTAAGAGAAAGAAAAGAAAATGTAAACAACAATGGTGTGATTGTTGAAACCCTTACCTACAGATCTCACTTAGCTCTTTCCTATGCAGAAGTTGCAACATGTTGAAATCAATCTTTGCAAACTGAAGCAGTTGTTTGTTATGGGATTTGATATCTTCGTATATCGAAATGAATTTTCGAGCCTCCACCCTCGGCAACCCCCTTCGGATCGACTGCTTTAAGGC